CCAGCAGCCCAGCCTTGGAGACACAGCCGGCAGACCCCGCACCCACGTCTCGGCCACTGCACCCTCGTAACAGACGTGTGGACCCTCTCAGCGTGCCCAGCACCTTCGCAGACACCGCCCACCTGGCACTCCTTCCCCGATGAAGGAGCAGAAGTGCTCCCTGAGGTTGCCACTTGGGGCTCCTGATGCCAAATAAACCAAGACCTTCCTCCGCAGCCCCCAGGCCTCACCCTTCTGGGGGGACACGGGGGCTCCTCACCACCGCTGGCCACTCACGGCCTCTCAGTCCCCATGGCTGCCCCGCGCGGACGCTGCGCCTCGGCCGGGCCTGCAGGCCACAGCACAGCTGCCATCTCTACCTGTGAACTTGTCCAGCTTTTTTCCCTGCAAGAAGGTTCCCTCTCAGCTGCCGCGCTCCATGCCCACCAGCAGGGCCGGCCTGGTTTGTGTTCAGAAGGGACTCTCAACAATTTTCAGAGCCTTACAAGTCACCACATACGGCTGCTACGGCGTGAGAAAGAAGCAAAACGACGGGGCTTTCTAGAAAGGAGGCCACCGCGCACGCGGCAGGACCGAGTCCTTGCCGGGGTCGATTCTGATCAGAAAGCACTGATCTTCACGCAGGGTCACGGCGAGGCCTCCATTCACTCACCCGTGTGTCCATTCACTCCACAAGCCTGCTCTTTGCCAGGCATCGGGCCGGGGTGTCCAGCCCTGGAGGACCCTCACTCGGCCGGATGCAGGCACCTGGGCTCAGGGCTGGCTGACGCCGCGCCCGGCTGGACGAGGGTCAGAGACAGGGGCATGCAGAGAAGCACTGTCTCAGCTGCGCGAGCTGGGAGGCACCAGTCTGACCCACTTGCTTCGGAATAAATGCCTTCTCTTCTCTAACCGGCCTCCTTTCTGACCCGCTGCCCTGCTCCCTCCTTGACCACAGAGCCCCGGCCATTATTTCAGGCAAGGTGTCCGGGGCCCTCAAGGTTTCCACTGTCTTTCCTACGGAGCGAAGAGAGGTGAAGTGGGCTCCCTACGTCGCCACGGGCAGGTGTTTGTCAGACGACAGCTTTTTCAGGAAAGAGCTCTCGTGGAGACACAGGTTTTGGAGGAACCACGCGCTGGTGAAACCGTCTGTTTCGCTAGCACATCTCCACTTCAGAACCACGTCTCCCGGTTGCTTTGGCAGGGGGAGACGGTTTTGGTGAGGCTGTTAAGAGGGTCAGCCGTTTTAATAATATTTTCACCTGTGACTTGGAGTGAGGAGGTTGCGCCTGGCCCGAAGGTTCAAGGAGCATTTGGACAGAGGCTCTGTTAAGACGATGCCAACGTGAATTTTCCCCCTTCTAGGATGCATGGGCCTCCCTGGCTCCCAAAGACCCTGAGCACAGCTCTGCCCCCAGCCCCATACTTCCGGAAGTCAGTCCTGCCCCTCCGTCCAAGTCCTGGCCCGGAGGAACGTGCACTGGGTGGCACCTACAGAGAGAACGGCTGCCCCTCCCACCTCTGGCGATGGAAGGGCTGTGGTGGGAGGGTAGCTAGTGATGCTGGCAGCCGCGCTGGGGTCGAGTGGAGAGAGGCAGTGTTGATGGGGGAGGTGACAGGGCTGATGGGGGAGCTGGCAGTGCAGGCAGTGGTGCTGATGGGCGGTGGAGGGGGGAGGTGGAGGTGGTGCTGGAAGTGACAGAGGGCGGGGCGATGGTGTTGGAGGTACAGGGTGCCGGCACTTTTCTAGCTGGGATTCAGAGGACAGCGCACGGTGCCCCCCAGTAAATGCTCGATGCAGCAATGAGGCGTGACATTGCATTTCCTCAGTGGCCCCGGGTCCCCCCGGGGGGGTTCTGCTGTCCTTAAGCCTGAACTGTCCCAGCTCTCCTGAGCTCCCTCTGGGAGTCCTGTTTGAAGGTCTGGGCCTGAGTGGCCAGCCTCCAGGCTCAGGAGGAGAGGAAGAGGGAAAGGGCGGCTCAGAGACGACCAGCTTGCTGAGTCTCGCACAGCACCTCTGAAAGTCTGGGCGCGTCCCAGCCTCCAGCAAGTGGGCCTCAGGTGTCAACTGGGGGCGGGGCCCATGTGGCCCTGGGAGGAGCTGAGACCTCGGCAGGCCAAGTGAGGAACTGAAGGGGCCAGGAGCCCCACTCGGGAAACTGAGGACCCAGGAAGCAGCCGCCTGCTGTTACACTGCTGTCTGTGAAGGAACCGGGACGGGGCGGGACGGGGCAGGCCTCCCCTCACCCCGCTGCGCTGGGCCCAGCAGGGGCACACGGCTCAGTGCCCGCAGCCCAAGCCCCAGGCGGTCCGACAGGAGCAGGGGCCAGGGCCGGGCGCGCCCCGCTCCACTCGCCAAGGTGGCGGGGCCGCAGCTCGGGCCCCCAACCCCGCCCGCCGCTCCCGCGGGCCGCTGTCCGGCCTTGGCCGCCGGAGGGAGGAAGCACTGTCCTCATTCCACCTCTGGCCGCCACGGTGCCAAGTTGCTGGCGGCGGCGGCGGGACTCGGGGCGGCGGGCAGCGGCTGGGGCGCAGCACCCCCCTGGCGCCCCCCGCGGGCTCGGGTTACTCACGTAGAGGCCGGAGTGCTCGGCGCCGAAGAACGGAAAGGGCACGGAGAGCGGCCGCAGCCCGGAGCCGCCGTCGTCCTGCTTGGGGGTGACGGCGTCGCCGCGCTCCGCGCCGAATGGGTAGAAGTCGGCTAGGGCCACAGCGCCGCGCACGCCGCGCGCCCCGAGCCCCAGGGCCGCGGCCAAGAGCAGCGCCCAGGTGGCGCCGCGCGGCATCGCCGGGGGTCGGCGGGCGGGGACGGAGCGAGGGACACAGCGGGACGGAACGGGGACAGAGAAGGACGGAGCGGGGGACACAGCGAAGACAGCGGGGACGGACAGGCGACGAGGAGGGGCCGCAGGGGGGCTTGCGGTCACCGCGGGGCAGGAGCGAGGCCGCGGTCGGGAGTGGCCCGCAGGGCCGGCCGGCCGGGCGTGCGGGGAGCGCGGCCGCGCCGTTGGTGGACTTCGGAGTCCCGCTGCCGCTCGGCCGGGCCGTGCTCCGGTCGCCTCTCGCGGAGGAAGGCGCCGGGCGGGACCGCGTTCGGAGCCGGACCCGCCCCTACGGCCGCGATTTAAATATCCAACCGGGCGGTCACTCGGGCCTGGGCGGGGCCGGGCCGGGCCATGCAAATTAGGCGGCTCTTAAAGCGCCAAGCGGGGCGGGCGTCTCAGCCCACGGCCCCGATCCCCCCGGAGGTGGCCTGGCCACGAGGAGAGGGCTCTGAGGGCGTGCCCTGCGGCCGGGGCCATCCTCCTCCTCCTCCGTGGGTCCCCAGCCGCCCGTGTGGGGCCGGCCCAGAGGAGGTGCCTTGTCCGCAAGGCAGCTCCAGGACAGACCCTCAGGCCTGCGTGAGTTGTTGGGCCTGGGGGCAGGCCTCCTGGGTGTCCTTTCAGGCCCCTGTCCCCCAGGGGACCAGGTCACCCTCCTGCCAGCGTGTCGTCAGCCGGGGGCCACCCTTCTGGAAGTGGCCAGAGGCCAGCCTCACGCTGCCCACCCAGCCCTGAGGCTTGCCATCTGGTCGTATGTGAGGAGGACTCTGGCCCGGGCTGCTTCAGGGCATTAAGCAGTTTCTGCCCTGCATGGCCACATCAGGGGAAATGCGGGGGGAGATGATTTGGGGGCCTAAGGAAACCTCACAGCAAGAGAAGTCTGGGGCCAACTCCCGGTAAATCAGCCTTCCATTGGGGAGGCTGGTCCACGCCGGCCTGGGGGCAAGTGGACAGATGCCCCGTGGGTGGGAGCAGGCCCTCGAGTGCCCACAACTCAGATTCTGCGTCTCCAGCCTGTGGCCATCGCAGCTCTTCTCGTGCCACAGGAACTTGCTCTGAGTCAGACTCTGTTTGTCCTCCACAGGGGGCCGGCATCTGGCCACCTCTGGTCCCTAGGCCCAGAGCAGGGCCCGACCCCCGGGGGCTCTCCACCCTCTCTGCTCTCGGGTGCTGGTGGGGGCTGATTCGTGAGGACAAGCCAAGCCTGGCACCCCGCTGGCTCAGATGCTGAGTGGGGAGGTGGGGGGAAGACCTGAGCCAGGCTGCAGCACAGTGGTCAAATCATGGCCAAGGTCGGAGGAGGGGTGTGGCAGCCTCACCCTCCTTGGACAGGGAGGGTCCGTGAACCTCACTCGCAAAATCCCCGTGGGGTCAGGACACGGCCTCCGACAGTGCAGCCCGGAGGGCAGAGCTGCCAGCAGGCCGGTCACCTTGGTGGGAGCCCAGGAGGACGTGCTTTTCCATCTGTGGGTTTTCTGTGGGAAACTGGCAGCCCTCTGCCGTCTGTGCTGTGGGTTTGGGGCCCAGGGGAAGGCCCTCTCCTGTTTGTTTCCTCAGGGGGGAGGGCAGGTGGCCCCTCCCTGACAGGGAGAAGGGGCAGAACTTCCCAGCTTGCACCAAACCACGGCGGGGGGGGGGGGGCAGGGGGGAAGGTGGGAACAGTGGGTTGTCCAGGCTGACCTCTGACCCCCCCCTAGACTGGCCCACCTCCTGCAGGGGGTGGGAGGGGGCACACGCCCCGTCCTCCCCCCAGTTGCACTTTCCTCCTCTGAGTAGGCCGCCTAGGCGGAGGAGGTCCCTCCGGGGCACTGCTGACCTTCTCCTGAGCACATGCCTCAGGGGACCCTAGTAAAGGCTCTCTTCTGGGTCCTCCTGGGGGCCTGTAGGGGCAGGGCTGCCCCAGGGGCCATGCCCGGGGCACACAGTGGTGCTCGGCAGGCAGACCTTGGGTCGCGACCCCCAGCGAGGCTGTGCATTTCCAGGCACAGGCCTGCTGACCCTCCGCGGCCCTCACCCTGGGCCATTTGCAGTCCCATTTGGGAGACTGGGGGTTAACAGGAGGCACCGCCATGCTGGGTATTACATTCAAACACACACACACACACACACACACACACACACACACACAGCTCCACAGGCGAAAAAGAGAAAAAAAAATTTTTTTCCAGGTGCTAAAAATATTATCAGGAAATACTTTTCAGCAATGTGCTGTTTCAGGTTCCCCTCCAGACTCAAGGGTGCCTTTGTCTTGGCCACAGAAAGTCCACATTTATCAAAACCAAAATCGTTTTATCAAGCAGGCTCGTGTTCCGCGGCCAGGAAACCCGAGACTCCCCAACAGGCCTGTGACATTTTAATTTAGGGCCTGAGTGTGTATGCAGTTTAGATGGGGAGCCCCGGAGCCGACCTCGGGAAGCCCCAGGACCCCGTGCCGGCCAAGGTGGGGAGCGTCTCCCCCACCGAACCTGGCCTGGCCGGCTGGTCCCTGCAGGGCTGGGACGGGGGCTCCAGCAGGGCTGCTGGTGGTGGAGGCTGCCTGGCTGCACCCCCCTCCCACTCTCTCCTTCCCACCCGCCCTGAGCACCTGGGGCTTCCACGTAGGTGAGACCTCAGGGAGACCCCTACCTGGTCCGGGAATGAGGTCAGGAGGTCACAGGGCCTGGAGGGGCAGGCGGGATCTGGCTCTTGCGGAGGCCCACCCGGCGTGGTCACTACACTGTGAGGATGGATGGGGCCTTGGTGCAGCTGCGGCAGAGATGGGGGGCCCTGGTTCAGGGTACACAGCTGTGCACACGTGCGTGCGGGCGGCCATAAGGCTCTCACACGGAAGCCACACGCTTGCCATTGGAAATGTTTAAGAAAACAGCAGTTTATCTCCATCAGAAAAATCCTTTCTCCTAAGTATACAACTTTATGTTGAACAAGTAAAAACAGCGTCTCCTACACTGATTAAACTTTCATTGAAATATAAGAAATCTTACGTCTCCCGGGAGCAGCCTGGGCAAGGAGGGTCCAGAAATCACCAGCAAGGACATTGATCAAATAGCGCGTGGCCCTCATTTCAATGCTGAGAAATCTTTCCGACCCCTTTTGCATCTGGGGTGTGTTCCTCTCTCATCTGTGCACGTTTACTAGGCACCTCCTCTGTGCTGGGAGATTCAGTCCCAAAGGCGTGACGCTGAGACGCCAGCGGCCACCAAAGGGAGGCAAGTGTTGACACTTTCCAAGTGTCAATCTCCAGATGCCGGGTCCTTCCTCCCCACCCGCCAACCCTCAGGCCCTTCCTCCACAAGGGAGCTGCCCACTGGGTCGTGGGGTCGCCGGGTCGAGGAGGAAGGGAAGGGACTTGCCTACTAAATGCCAGGCCTTGAACATCAGAGCTGTGTGTGTCTCACGGCCCTACCCTTCCTGTCTGTACCAGGCTCTCCAATGGTGGGGGCAGCCGCTGGGTTGCTATGCGTTCCAATGGGCCGCTGCAAGCTGGTGAATACCTGGGTGCGAACACCACCACTAACGCCTCCTTCACCCAGAGCAGCGTTGTTAATGGGTCACCATGCTCTTCCCCTCTGAGTCTGGGCTGAACTTCAGAATCCTTCTCAACACAGCCACCAATAATCAGGCAGAGCTGACAGGCAGAATGAAACCTATTTTTTGTGCAGTTCGCAACATATGGCAACTCCGTTACTAGGTTCAGTCAGAAAGGAAGGCCTGACAGGACAGCCTGTTTTAAGTGCGGGATCGTGATTGGAATGGGTGGGCTCCAGGAGCTTTGGCCCTTCTCACCCCCATGAGTCCTGGAGGGAGGAGGTGCTTTGGGGTGGCGGCTAGCACCTGCGGACGCAGGAATTTCCTGGGCTGGCTGGTGCCCCGCAGATGTTGTAAACACGTCACTTACAAAACAAAAGAGGCCATTTGGAGAGGAAACAAATCACTCTGACCAGTGTTCATGGGGGGAAAAGAGAGAAAATGCGAACAGGTGAACCAGGCATCGGCCTAAGATGGCTGCCCCGGTCTCCGTGGCAACCAGGGCTGGATTCCCGCAGGAATTTTCCCAGAGTTATAGGCTGGGAAAGTGGGTGGTTCTCTAACAACTTTAACGTTTACATCCTGATGCCTCTCACGGGCAGTGAGTCACGGGGCGGGGAGCACGGGGGGGTGGGGGTGGGGGTGGGGACTGGACTCTGAGTCACTTGCAGCCACCTGCCACCGTGACGGCCCTGCAGTTCCTGGATACGGAGGTCTTGCCGCCTCTGTGCGCAGGGATGTGGTAGCTGGGCCCTGCGGGACATTATGTTTTTGGCTTCAGTTGGTGGAAATGTTTTCCACGTGTTTCCCCATGTTTACAGAGCTGAGGGCACGGAATGCAGCCCGTGGCTGCGGAAGCTGGCCTGCTGGGGCCTGGCCGCCGGGGTCTGGCCGGGTCAGCACATCCACAGCGGTGCCAGGGCCGATGCCGGCCGCGGGAGGCTCCGTGCTGCCGGGGAGGGGCGCGTCGGAGAGCAGCGGCTCCGGAGCTCGGGCCACGCCAGCCGGAGGCGGGGGTCCCAAGGGCTGGGGGAGCTCTGTGGTCAGGGGATCAGAGGGTGCCCACTGACTCCCGGCACGGGTGGTGGCTTCCCTGGCCCGGTGCCCCTCGAGCTCGGCCCCCCGGCTGAGCAGCACGAGGCGTTGCTTCCCCAGCAGCGGTTCTGCTGCCGGGCCGGTCAGGGCAGTGGCAGCCGGGCCACCCAGGGGTCGGGAGCCGGACTCACTCCTTGGCCTGGAAGGCCTGGCCGAGGCGGGCTCGTCGCCGCTGCTGCACTTCCTGGTCCCGCGGCTCCTTCAGGCTGGCCACCTGGGGACAGGGCAGGAGCTCGGGCGGGCGGGCGGGCCCCGTGCCTGAGCTCCGTGACCGGAAGGGCTGGGAGGCCGCGGTCCACGGCTCCCAAGGGGGCGGTGTGCGTGGAGAGAAACCCCGGCAGACAGACAGATTCACCAGAGGCCAGATGGGGCGTGCAGGGTCCCACCTCTGATCAGGGTCACCCCCCCGGGGGCTCTTAGTGGCCCGGGTGACCACCACTCACAGTGGGTGGACCTCCTTCCACTCAGCCATGAACACGCTCAGAGTAACGAGGAAACAATGCTCCTGGGCTTACAAATCGAGCAAACGTGGCTTGGAGGGTCAGGGACCCCACCTCAGGGAGGCAGCGGGCTGCCGCTCTACGTCTCTGCGTCTCAGTTCCCTCCTCTGTTCCCCCATCGAGCAGCTCCCCCGAGGCAGAGAGCTCGGAGCCCGCGCGGCAGCCCCGGCTGGCATGTCTGTGTATGTGTGCGTGCCCGTGTGTGTCTGTGCACATGCGTGCGTGTGTGGGGGGTGTGGTCAGCACAGGCACACACTCAAGGCTCTGTCCTGCTTTGTTACTGCCCCGCCCCCCCGTTCGCTGCTGCCCCCGTCCCTGACTCCGCAGGACGGTGCAGCGGCCACCGCCACTAGGACTGCCACGCGCCAGGCACCATCTGGACGTTTCATACGCAGCAACCACCGGCTGAGGGACTGTCCCCGCCCCTCTTTATGGGGGGCGATGGCGGCACGGAGAGGGTGGTGACCCGCCCCAGAATCCCCCTCCGCCCCTCAGTGAGGTGTGGGAGTGACGGAGGGTAGTGTGGGGTCCCGTGGGGATGGCCTGGAGCCCACCGGGCAGTAGCGCTGCCGGAGGACCTCGGGCTGGGGCCAGGCGGGCGCAGGGACCCTCCCCTCCCTCTGCACCCCCGCCGGGCGCTGGGTCCCCGCCCACCTGCTTCTCCAGCACCTTCACCCGCCGCTGGTGGGTCCTCTCTCGGGACGCCAGGGCCTGTGCAGCCTGTACATGGGCTCCGTGCAGCCGCTCGGCCTCCACCATCAGGTCTCGCTGGTGCTGGGTGGCCAGCTCCTGGAGCCGCTGGGCATAGGGGAGACCCCAGGCACCTCGCTGTGGCCTGCCCACCCAGGGCTGCGCAGAGTCCCGGGACAGGCGCATCCAGCCCTCCCCTGGGGACCCCCAGTTGGCCCGGCTGCCCTTTGCTGGAGCCCGGGGCCTGGCCAGGACCGGAAGGTGAGCGGAGGGTTTCGTAAACACATTCGGCCCCCGGGCCTTGTCTGCTCCGGAGCCCCACCCACAGGCCGGCAAGGTGAGCCTTACATCTGTTTTAATGGCATCCTAGTTTCCACTTGGCTGGACCTGGGGTCCCAGAGGCATCGCAGGCTGATTCTCGCCCCCACCTCCCTTGCCGATTCCTTGTCTGGCGATAGAGGGTCTGTCCAGTGGTGAAAGGGGAGATACCCCAGAACACACAGGAGCAGCCCCTGGACCTGCCTGTAGGCCTGCCTGGCCCTGTGTTTCCCACACTCCTCCCCCTTCTGGTCCATGCACTGGCTCACGGTCCCCTGATGGTCCCCCCACTCCCACGGGGCCCATGGAGCCCTGAGACCTGAGGTGTCGCCCTGGTGGACCCCTTTGTTGTCTGCGGCTGTGTCTCCGCACCTGTTCTGTGTAGGAGTGGTCCAGCCCGCCCTTCCCATCTGGGCGTGTGCATATGTGTGTCCAAGCACGAGACAGAAGCACTGGGACCCACACCCACCCGGACACCCCCAGCCCCAGGCCCCGGCCCACTCCCAAGACTGGGGTGCATGGAGCCCAGCTGGTTTTGCCTCAGGGCCCTGTCCGCTTCCTGGTGCAGGCAGGTATGGTCCAGCGGCTCCTTCTCGGCCCCCGCCCTCACGTTGTCCCTTTCCCTCCTCAGCTCTGTCTACAAGAGCAGAACCTGCCGCAGTCTCTGGCGGGGGTGTGAGCTCAGGCCAGCCTTTTCCCTGGAGAGCACGTGGGGTGCCCCCGGGAGGGGCTCTGGATCCCATGAGAGCTGGCTGGGTTGGGGGAGGGAGCTCCCTGGCCAGGATGCCCAGTGGCCTGGGCCGTCCAGCATGTGGGGCTGCTATGAGAGTGAGGGGGGACCACCAGTCACGTTGCTGTCCTGCTTTGGACCAGCTGCATCTCCTGGTACCTCCAGGCCCTTGCAGTGCCGCTCCCAGCCTCAGGGAGCCTCTGTGCGCTGCATCCTGGCACCCCTGCACCTCAGCGCCTGCAGCCGGCTCATAGGCCCCAACCTCTCCCTGACCAGGTCCCAGCCAGCCTGTGTCCTCTGTGTCCCTGTCCCCACAGCCCGTCTTCCTTGGAACGGCCCGCTGCTTGAGTACAGCCCCCCTCCTGGCCCCCATCCTCACCACGCAGGCACAGGACAGGGGGGAAGAACTGGGGATGAATGTTGGGTGACCAATGAAACAAACACTTTTGGTGGGAAGGTTTGGGGGCTCCTTTTTGCCCCCTTGTGGATGGTCCCTTTGGAGGAAGGAACTGACACGCAGGGCAGGCCTGGCCCATCAGCCACTGGGGCAGGATGGGAATCTGGGCCCCAGACCAGACCTGTCCACTTCCCCGGCTCTGGGCCGGGTGGGACAGTGGTCAGCCCCAGCTGCTGGAGGCCCAGGCCTGTCCTCTCGCCCTCAGGCTGGACAGGGCCTGGTCTCTCGGGGGGCCCTGGGACATGGCAGATCGGTCTCGAGTGCAACGTGACGGGGGCAGTGTCCAGCGTGTTACAGAAGGAGGGGACCCTTTCTTCTTCAGGACTGAGAAAAACAAAGGGTGCCCCTCCACTGAGAAAGGAAGTCCTGTTTCTTTAAAAATCCAGTTACACTCCTGGACCTGCACGTTAAAAAGAGAAGAGAAAAGTGAAATCCAAAGTAAATAAACGGCTGCATCCGGGTTTCCCCTCCTGAGACACCAATAAAGGGTTTATGGGTTTTCGGGCCCCTCACAGCTGACCTCCTGGAACTCATTAGCTGTTCCTCCCCTCCCCCATCTGGGCTCCAGGGACCCGCGGTTGGCTCTGCTGCCCGGGGCAGTGCCATCTCGGCCTCCCAGCCCCCAGGCCCCCTACCCCGAGCGGCCACGGGAGCCCTTGGCTTCCCCAGCTTGGCACTGGGCCTGCCCTTCAGGAGAAGCTGCAGGGTCCTGGTGACCATGCCCGGCTGGACAACCCTTCTCTGTGAGAAGGCAGGTGGCCTTGTGTGGACAAGCTGGCCGCTGGCTCTCAGTGACCTGATCTGCTGGCCTCTGTGCCTCCGTCCTGACCCCAGTTCTGTCCCCAGGGTCCCTGCCTTCCATGGCCACCCCACTGACCCGGCCACTTCCCTCTGGAAAACCGTCCTGTCCCCGAGCCCACCTGAGCTGGACAGTGTGCACATGGTGGCCAGGGCCTGCCCGGGACACGTGTCCCCATGTGCTTGGGGACACATGACCCGGGTGGCGGCTCTCCTGGAGGCTCCAGGCCTGGCAGCTCCTCGCCGGGCGGGGCCTTGCTGTCCTCCCTCGGGGTGCGTTGGTCAGTCCTCTCTGGAGCCTGCCCTCCGCGCTGGGGTGCCGCCGTCACCCCCTGTGGGGACCCCACTGTTCCTAGTTCTGCACCTTGCTCCTGACACAGTGAAACACTCTCCTTCCTGCCCCTGCCGTGGCCGGTGGCCTCTGCCTCTTCTCCGACCCTGAGCCTGTCTTTTTCACTCCTCGCTGGTGTCCACACGCCCCACCCCCCGACATCTTTGCCCTCCAAGTCTGAGAGCCCTGGGCACTGTCACCTCACCACTCGTCCCAGCGGCCACGACTGTGTGCTGGCGAGGCCAAGCCTGGCCCCTGTGGTGCCCGGGCCCTCCTGCCCTGGGCTGCACGGCCCAGACAAACCCCGCCCCCGCACAGAGCCATTCTGCGCAGGACCTGGCAGGCAGGTGGCACAGTGACAAGCTCAGGGATCCACTGGGCCTGAGGTGGTCCCTGCAAAGTCCATGGGCTGAGCCATGAAACACGGACCCTCCACCGCCCTCTGAGAAGCCCTGGCCGGACACTGCTGCCTGGACCTACCGTGAGGGACGAACCTTCCCTTCTCGGCCCAGTTCCCTTTACACAGCTGAGCCCAGGCTGGCAGGGTCCACCCACACCTCCACCCAGGGCCAGTGTTGCGGTGCAAGGGACAGCAGCTGTACCCGGTCATCCGTGCCACGTCGGGAGGGCCGTGTCCCTGTGCCTGCACATGAGCCCAGCTCCCGGCTCCAGGGGACAGGCAGCGAGACCTCTGCCCAGGTGTGCTCACACAGCCTCCGGCCACCACCTGCCAGGCCGCCCGGGCAGCAGGACCCAACCATGCCCTCACCCCAGAGAGGCCTTGGGAAGGCTGCCCTGCTCTGGGGTCCAGGACTGAGCCCCCAGCTCTCCCCACTGCCAGGACTCCTGCTTCCCCCCCCCCACTCAGGTGGGGACACGGAGCCTGAAGGGACGGGTGCCTCGGGTGCCTGGTCACCAGCCCAGCGCAGGCTTTCCACCTACTGCCCGGTGGTCTGTCTTCCCTCTGGACTCCCTGTCCTGCCCACCCCTGGGGGTGTTGAGAGGGCATCAGAATCCCAGGCCCAAAGCCCAGCCTCGCACTCCGCCGGGGTCAGCTGGATGGGTCGTGCCTGTTCCTATGGGGCAGAGGCAGGACATCGAGGTCAAGGGAGCTGCCTCTCAGGCCACGTGACCTGGGAGGTCCCTGCACACAGCAGGCCTGCCGGGTGGGTCCACAGAGCCATAGCTGGGGTTGGGGCCTGGGTGACATTCTGCCTGGTTCCAAGAACGTCATTTCCTTTCACTAGCCTCAGTTTCCCCATCAGTTAACCTGGGCCCCAGGAAGATGCTCTGGTGACCCCAACCCCTGATTTCAACCCAAATACCTCCACTTTGGCCCGTTTCATACGTGAAGATGGTCCATTCACGCCTGGGGACAGTTCAGCTGTCAGAATCACTGGCCAGCAGGCCCCTGGGCCTCCCTGCCTTTCACATCCTTTCTGCCCGTCTGTGGGCCGGCCCGTGCCCTGTCCTGTCCTGCATTCATTCAGCCTCTTTGGTTGGTTCCCTGTCTTGCACCCCAGCCCATGTTGGGTCTGCAAGGGTGACGAGGCGGCTTCCGGCGCTCTTCCTGGTCTCTGTTGTGCGGGCCTACACCTACCCTCCCATTGCCCCCATCTGCAGGGCACCCCCTGAGCCTGGGCTATCTCCACCGTGGACAGGGGAATCTGGGCTCCAGAGGCGGGCAGTGTGCCAATGCCACACAGCTCCAGGCAGGACTGGCGCTCAAACACTGGGAACAACGCCGCGTGTGTGTGTGTGTTTGTGCGCGGGTGTGTGCGTGTGTGTGTGCGCGCGTGTGTGTGTTTGCCATGACCTGTGGTCCTCCCCCGAGGACAGCAGAGGTAGAGTTGGGGTAACATCACCGGAGGGCTGTGGAGGTCCACAGGGTGACCTGCCAACGCCAGGCTGACCCTGAGCTTGGAGGCGGGTGGACAGGCCCAGGGCGGGCATACTCCCCACTGGCAGGTTGGGACACAGAAGCCGGTGCCTCCCCGGCCCCCCAGCCCCTGCCTGGACGCCCGCGAGGCCCTCCCCATACCCCGCCTCCCCACCCCCAACTCTCCAGGGACCACCCTTCCACCCCACCCCCCTCTTCCGGGGACCATCCACCGGATCCGGGTACCTGGGCCGGTGCACCGCGAGCTCCCCCTGCAGGCGGGCCGCCCGGGGCGCAGCGCGGCCGCTCCTCCCGCAGGACACGCCTCTCCGCGCGCTGCGCCCGCTGCCGCCGCCGCCGCCGCCAGAGCACGTGGGCCGGGCAGGGGCCGGGCAGAGGCCGCGCGTAGGCAGGTCACTCTGGCCTGAGGCTGAGCCCCCGGCTCAGCTGATTATTTTTCCCGGAGCTGTGTGTCCACAGTCCACCTTCTGTCGTAGGGGCGCCCGCAGTGGAGCAGGAAACCAGGGAGAGGCCTTGGGGCTCTGACTCCCTGCGTGCCCCTCCCGCCTCGGTTTCCCCTCTGTCAGCTGGGGATTGGACGCGTCTGGGTGACTCCAGGCCTGACACCTGCCTCCAGCGTCTCCCTGGACTTCCCTTCACACGGAGGGAGCGATTCCTAAAGGGAAGGCAGGGCCCTGCCCCCCGGGGCCCCTCACCTGCTGCAGGGCCTCCCGCGCCTGCGCTCCAGGGGGGCGACCTTCTCCTCTAGCAGCGCCCGCTCTGGGCCAGGCCCTGCCTGTGCCTTCTGCCCTCGTCCAGGGCCTGGTGCCGCGTGTCCAGTGCTTCTGGGGGAGGGAGGCACAGGCCGTCTGGAAGCACGGCCCGGGGTGTGCTGCAGGTGAGGCTGTGGCACCTGGCGTCTGCCCAGATCACGTGCAGTGGCTGGGAAGCAAAGACGCAAGAACAGGTTGAGTGCCGTGTGCACGGATCGGGCAGTTTCCGATGTAACCACGGGCGGGGTGGGAGGGGTCCTAGAAGCAGGCCTTGTTGGCCCGGCGGCGTGGGCAAAGGCGGGTTCTCTGCTGTGGTCAGAGTGGCTCAGAAGACACATCCGTTTTCCCTGCCCTGCTTCCAGCCCTTGGAAGAAAGACCGCGACAGTCCCCCCAAGTCCTCCGAAGCTCCCGGGGCGGGTGGGGCTCAGCCCCCACGCCCTCCACCTGCAGCCTTCTTCCCCTGTGCCCACCTCGTACCCCCGTGACTCAGGCCTCCCCACCCCTGCTGCCCGAGCCCGGAGTGCTGCTGGCCGCCCCCCTCCCCCGCTGCGCTGCCCCCTCCCTGTCACCCCTCCTCTCTGAGCCTTCACGAGGACGGCGCCTGTGGTGTCCCCGGGCTGGAGCTGGTGCGCAGTGGGGCCTGGCGATTCTCGGGAGCACACGGATGCCGTCCTGCCCGCGGGTGTCTGGTGGGCAGGAGGTGGTGGTGATCTTTGGTACAGAGCACCCTGGAAAATCAGGAGCCGCGTCCGGCCCATTGCGGGGTCTGAGCGGGGGGCGGAGGAAGGCAAGTTGGGGGCCCCGGGATTGTCCACAGGAGCCTGTGGCGCCTTGGGCTCAAGGAGCCAAGCAGTGGAAGAACGCGCCACGGAATGGAGAGGTAGCCCGAGGGCCGCGTGGCGGGTGAGCGGCAGGCAGTGCCACGAGGGCTCCCAAGCTTGGACTGCGTGCGGGGTGTCCGGAGCCCACTTGCTGGGATGGGAAGGTGGGTGTGGGAGCACGTTGAGGGGTCTCCCGGGGGTCACTGCGCCGGGGGCAGTGTCACAGGACCACGTGACTATGGAGGCCCTGGCACGGAAGGCCAGGGAGTGGGGGGAGGAGGGGTCCAGGCCAAGTGGACTTCAGAGCAGAGAAAAGAGGAGGCTGGGCCCAGGGAGGACCAGAGAGCTGGCGGAGATCGGAGGGAGAGGTCGGGCTCCTGTGCAGAAAGCTCCAGGGGCTCGGGTAGACATGGACCCAAAAGGCACCCTTTGGAAGGGACCAAAGTTGCTGGTGATCTCTGTGTCTGTGTGGGTCCCGGGAGGTTGCGGTGCTGACGGTCTGGGGAGAGGGGGAGGGGCAGCCCTTCCAGAATCCTGGCTGGGGGAGGGGAGATGGGGCCAGCAGAGAGAGGAGGGGGTGTGGGTTGTGGCGGGCAAGAGGTGCTTGTTTAGGAAGAGGGAGACTGGGTCTAGAGCCAGAGTAGGAACGCCTGAAGGCACAGGGACCCAGCAGTTGTGTCCCGGGAGCCGTGTGTCTAAGGGGGCTTTGCATCCACCTCCCACTCCGTTTTCACTAAATACAAGAGGAGGACTGGCTCAGGGGAAGAGGGGGAGCCACTGGGCACCCCCGTCCCAGGCTGGGTGAAGGCGGGACAGGTGCCGTGACCCTGTAGGAACTTTTCTGGGTCTGTCAGTTTAGAAAGTTAAAGGAAAGGGAGGGCAATGCTTGTACCTCAAATTGAGGTTTCACCCTTCTTTACAATTTTGGAAATTACAGTTTTCTGTTTGTACACATTTTCCCGTAGAAAAGCAGACGTTTCCTTCAAATATGGCTTAAATATTTCACGGTATTTTAAAGAGGCTCCAGGCCACTCGTGATGCGCTATGCTCCTCTTGTAGTGACTCAGCGTTTGTGGAATTCAGATGAACCATAATAACTGAACGGGGCACCCTTTATGGACACCTCCCTTTGCCCCACGGAGTCAGTCTCCTTGCTGGCTTGCTTTGGTTCTGAGCCCTGAGCCTGAATGGGGGGCGGCTGGCCGTGCACGCGTCACAAGCCTGCGCTCAGCGCGGGGGTTCAGCTGCAGGAGCGCACGAGGCTCGACCGCCGGCTTCTGTGGTTCCACCCCGGGCCTGGGGAAGGAGGCAGGGCTCGGCGCGTGCCCTTGGGCCAGCCCCCAGCCTTGGTTTCCCCCTCTGCGGACGGGTGTGATGCGATCTCACAGCGTTTTCGTCGGGAGCAAGAGGAGGACGGGAGAAGGACTGTGAGGACCGCCCCCCTGTATGGGGGCTGCTGTCAAGTGGGGGTCTGTAGAGGCTAGAAATGCCTCAGGCACTAGCACAGCAGGCGGACGCAACGTTCCGCACCCTGCCTGTTGCACAAGAGCAGAGCCTGCCGCCAACCCCAGCGCATCCTTCGGAGTTCAGGTCCTCAGCCTTTTCATCCACTGGCGACAACGGATCGATTTGTTCATCGGCTGGCAAGTGTCCAGTGTGGGTGAGCGCTGGGCAGCGGTGCACGGCCACCTGGCCCTGCCCTCCGGGAGCCTCGCGAGCCCTCTGGCCGGTCACAGGACAGAACTAGCGCTGGGAAGTGCTCCAATATAAGGGGACCCAAGCGCCTTCCTTTACACGGTGGGCCTCAGTAGCCCAGACAGGAGGCTGGGATCTGGTGCCGGTTAGGGACAGCTGGAAACTTCTGGACTCTGTCCTGTCCTGCTTGCCTCTTCGTCCACCCTTGTGCCAACCCCTGCTGCTTTGACCACGCTACTGTTACAGTCAGTATTACGATACTATTTCAAAAATTTCTTAGAAAATCTCAAACATCTATTCTTCCCTGTAAACTCTGCAATCAGCTTATCCAGTTTCCCTCCAAACATACCACAAACAAATAGACAAAACCGAACCAAGAAAGCAAACAACCGACAGCCAAGAAGCAACCGACAAACCAGGAACATAAGCAAAGATCCACCCAGAAGCTGATCAAAACATCATAACGGCCCCAAAGGCAGCCCCTCTCCAGTAAGACGAGACACAGCCGCAAGAAGAGGCACAGCGTCTATTCTTCTAAACAACCTTTGAATTAAAGAAGAAATAAAAGCGGAAACTCCTAGAGGATTGGTAAGAAAGGAAAAGAATTCATGATAAAAACCTTTGGGGGGCTTCCCTGATGGGGCAGTGGTTAAGAATCCACCTGCCAATGCAGGGGACACGGGTTTGAGCCCTGGTCTGGGAAGATCTCACATGCCGCGGAGCAACTAAACCCGTGCACCGCAACTACTGAGCCTGCGCACTAGAGCCCGCGAGCCACAACTGCTGAAGCCCATGCGCCTAGAGCCCGTGCTCTGCAACAAGAGAAGCCACCACAGTGAGAAGCCCGTGCACCGCAACGAAGAGTAGCCCCCGCTCCTCGCAACTAGAGAAAAGCCCGCGCAGCAACGAAGACCCAACGCAGCCAAAAGTAAATAAAGCAACAACAACAACAACGTATGGGGGCACATACCAAACCACAACGAGGGAAAACACAATAACACTGAATGCTTTTACTATTGAAAGAGTAAAGCCCAGAATAAACACAGCACTATGCAACTGAAGAAATCAGAAATATTACAACAACAACAAAGAGTGTGTCCATAGGGATAAAAGCTGAAATGAATAAACCACATGAAAGGAGAAAAGAGGTAAAAGTTGATTCTTTGAAAAGACCAATAAAACAGATGAACTGTTGGCAAGTTAAAGAGAGACAAATAAAAATCTCCAACATCAGGGACAGAAACAGATCTAACGATAGATATAAATAAGATCTAACTACAGGTGTGAAAATGAAAAACGGCCACCAAACATAAGAGCGAGTTCCTGGCAGCGCCTTTGAACTTGAGATGGGTGACTTCCAAATGTCCAAAACTGACCCCAGAAGAGACAGAAAAACTCAGAGACCGCGAGGGAGAAGCTGCGAGAGGAAATGAGAATGTATTACGTAAGCTGACAGGAGGGGCGGGGCATTTGCAGGTGAGTTCAATGTAACCTTTCAGGAAGGCTTAACTCCGAGGCTATTTAGATGATCCCAGGTAGTAGAAAGAGATGGAAAGCTCACCAATTCCTTTTGTGAAGATAAAATACTCTTAACACACAAAACATCTGACAAGCACGGTGCCCTAAAGGAGCACAGACAGTCTTGAACAAGTATCAGGAATGCGCTCCAGCCACAGCGCGCCCAGAAGGCCGAGCGGCTCCCCACTTCGCCTCTAGAACCTGGACTGAAGCTGGATTTGGGCCCTGGGGGTGAGCTCTCTGGAGAGGAGGGGAGGGTGTGCGAGGGACTGTGAGGTGCTGGTGGACGCCGTGAGCCCCTCTGAGCCATCGAGGCTGTGACCTGGCGCCGGCCCGAGGACAGCCTCGGGCGGTCTCTCCCAGTGGGCGGGCGCCAGGCCCCCCTCCGCGCCTCGCCTCCCGCTGGCTCAGGCCCCGCCAGCTGCCTGCAGGCCCCCCGGGGGCTGTGTTCGCGCGTGTCCTAACCTTGGGGCTCGGTTCTGCATCGTTGATCTATTGAATTCCCAGGGTAGCCCTGGAAACAGGGAGGGGTTTGCTCTCTAACAAGAATCTCCCTGTTTGCACAGCGCCGCCTGCCATGTAATTAGAAAAATATGTTTTTAATTAACTTTCTCTTGACAAACACATTGGCTTATGTGAAACGAGGGAAAAATCCAGTCCACGAGAGTGAAAGATGTGGTCAAATGCAAGCCTTGCTCTAGCTCACGCTGGCCGCCTGGCAGCCTGGCCTGGACGTGGTGCAGGCAGTGGGCGGCAGGCGGTGCGGCCACGTATCCTGAGCCCACAGCGGGCTGGAAACGCTGTAGCCTGGGTTGGCTGTGAGTGGAGAGTGCCCGGGGCCTCCAGTGACTGAGGTGTGTCTGAACCCCCTCCCGGGCGCCCACTGCAATGACCAACAGGTTACAAACATTGGGAAAGACTTCCCTCAGCTGGAGACCAGGGACTTTGAGGGTTCCCGAAAGATGGAGCGCACATGGAGGCAAGTGGCCTAAAAATAGGATAATTGCGAATTGCCAGAATTCTTAGAAGAATTGGACAAACGACGGATGGATTCTAGCACACAGTTTGCTCAACACTCGATCAACCAGAAGGACAAACAGGGGTGGAGAATACGTGAACAACTTCCGGCAGAGCCGTCTGCGCCCCGTGTGGAGACCCCACGTGGGCACCTCAGAGGCCGGGGCTGGAGGGGGCAGTGGGGGTGTGGAGGGGAGGCCTCCAGGGACCAGGGTGACGGTGGGGGAGGCACCACCCCTCCCAGGTGCCAGGGAGGCACCCTGGCAGGCAAGTGCCTGGGGGAGGAGCCGGAGGACAACCCCGCAGCTCTGCCCTGAGGCCGGGGCCGCCACCCTCCCCATTCCTGGAACAGAAGAGTTCTGGGGGGGCCTCAGTGCCGTCTCTGCCGTTGCTCCCCACGTCTCCCCTTGGGCTCTTCCTCTCTGCCTTTCCTTGGGGTGTGAAACATCTGGCCAGAGACGCGTGAAGCCCCTGATGGGTTCCGCTGCAGCCCCAGCTGGGAAGGAGACCGGACCCCCTTCTCAAAAGGAGGAAAAGAATCACCACGTGAGTCGCTCGCGGTCAGCGGTGATTCAGGAGAGCCGTCGGTCCACGGAATGTGATCGGAGGGTCTCGAATCAAAAAGAGAACAGAGTTATTGCAGGAAAGGGGAATCGTGTCCGAAAACGGTAACTGATGTTCTCGAGACGGTGAGCCCAGCGGGGAGCCAGAGGGCGAACCATCTGCGGTGAAAACACCAGCGCCAGCCCGGGGCCGTGGGGCAGCAGGGAGAGAAGGCAGAGCGGCTAAGACCACGGAGACCCTAAGTCCTCCCAGACTTGGTGGGAGACGCGATGAGAAGGTGAAGTCTGAGGTCAGCGAGGGAGGCAGGCCCAGAGTGCAGGGTGGGCGGCTGAGAGTTGCGGGGCGGGGGGGGGGGGGGGGGGGGGGGGGGGGGGGGGGGAAGAGACGGTTTCGAAGTGGAAAGAACTCGTATAAACTGAAGGTAGGTTTGATCCTGCACGCGGAGCGGGCTCCCACGCGCAGGGCAAACATTTCAAAGATCAACGGGCCCTCCGGCTCCCACTCCGGAAGGAGCAGCTCCAACAACCTAAAACACCCTCACATTTCTTGACACCGTCTGACACTGAGGTCAGAGGGCAAACAAGGCGCCTGAAATCTAAGGAAAAACAGGCCCTGCTCAGAAGAGGTGGGACGTGAGCCTGACTCACGAAGAGCTCAGCTGACGTGCCTAACAGAACCCAACCGCGAAGGGCAGCGTTCTGAGATGGCCCGTGACCTTTGGCCGGTGTTGTCCCACGAGTTCGTGAGGTTATTGGCGAAAGGATTTGCAGCTGTAATTAAGGCTCTGCCCATTGGCTTCGAGTTCACCCAAGGGGAGGGCACCCAGGTGGGCGGGCCTAGTCCATTACAGGGCCATAGGCCGGTGCGGGGGTGGGGGGGTGGGGGTGGGGCAAGCGGCGGGCAGCCTATGGGAAGGCGTCCAGAGGACAGCTGGGAAACGGGACCTAGTCCCACGGCTGCGAGGGGACGCTTCCCGGAGCCTCAAGAGGGTGGATCCAGCCTCCCAAGTGTGGGAGCCCAGAGGGAGCCCAGCCCCGCAGGCAGGCAGGCAGGCCAGCGGGACTTCTGGCCAAGGACAGGGGCTCACACGTGGAGTGAAGTCAGCCGTCCATGGCGACTCGCAGCTGGGCCGTCAGAGAGGAGGATGCCGGCGGGGACTGCTGGGAGCACAAAGCCCCCGTCTCGGCAGACGCGGGCAGGGGGTGGGGTGGGGTTCAGACTCAGGGACCAGCTCTTCAGGGACCCCACCTGGGCGCTGAGGAGAAAGAAAGGGGTGGGGCAGGGCTGGAGGAGGGGAGCCCTCAGAGCACAGCAGAGCCAGGGCACAGGTGCAGAACCCCTGCTGCTGGGGGTGGCCGTGGGAGGTCCTTGAGGTCAGGTGACACACACATTCTCTTCACATTTAACACCGAATATTAGGGGAAAACACTTCAACTGTTGTAACACCCCCCCCTCCCCCAAGCAGTGACCAAGAGACCGGACAAGGATGACACCAGGATGCAGACACTGGAGGGAAGGGGCGAGCAGATGACCCCACAGTGAAAGGACAAAAAGGAAGTCGTGAGGAGTCGTTAAAGGGGCAGGTGTCTCGTCAGCGATGGAAGAAAAGCAGAGCATAAGTTATCACAAAACTTGTAAGTGGGGCAAATTCTCCTGCAAAAGGGAAAGACTCTAAGGTAGGATTGTAACCAAAGCCAGGCTGATGCAACGATGGCCGAAAACCTACAGGGCAAAGTGCAGAGGCCAGGGTCAGGAGATGGTGGGGACACTGCCAGCGTTGGGCAGAGCAGAATTCAAGACAAATGGCACAGAGCAGGGCACAGAGGCCTCCAGACCAGTAAGCAAACGTTAGAGAGCGTGTCAGAGAGATCTAGAAGTTACAGACCCTTAGAGATAAAAGGAGACATTGCCCCAAAAAACTGTCTTGGGAAAATTCCACACATGATTCTTAGCTTCGATAAATCCAGGAGACAGAATCAAGGTGGAATATTTGAATGATGTAAAGTTTGGTTTAATAGGTATATTTCAAAACGTGTAACCTGCAAACAGGAAGCACTGTTTTCAAATGCGCATGGAACAAATACATGTGGACATACGTGTAGAATGAAACAGCCTGGCCCCGCCTCCCCTGCTTCCTCAGACCCCACACTTCCTGGGCATCTCCCAAGCCCCCAGCCAGGCACCTGGGCGCTGGACTGAGCCCTCCGAGCCTCTCCCCAGCAGCTTCAGCCACTGGGGCCTTTGAAACAGAAATCCCCTCTCAGCTCACAAATGTTTTCCAGACTGAGCTCCTTCTCTGCTCTCTGCCCATCGCCTGCAGGAGGCCACTCCTCAGAGGCTCCTGGCCTAGCGGGCACCTGGGACCCAGGCCCCTGCCACCAGGCTCCAGGCCGAGCCCCGCACGGAGCGAGTCAGCGCAGGCTTGGCGTCCGCACCTGCCCTCTGAGGGGAGGCCTGCCTGCCGGCTGCCCCTGGGGCCCTACAGACCTCGCCCGGCTCACTGCTATGCTGACATGCAAGGCCGTCTCTCCAGGTCCCTCCTCGCAGGCACTGGGAGGGGGTGGCCTGGACCCGAGCCCGTGTCCTCCTCAGCCCCTCTGCTCTGCTGTCTCCGTCAGCCTCGTCTTTCCAGCATGGGGCCGGGGGACCCGATTCCCTGACACCTGGGGGTGGCCGCCTCTGGGGCCTGTACCCCCTGAGCCAGGTGCGCTGTTCTTGGAGCTCTGAGGTCCTCAAGCAGCCGCAGCGGCCCAGACCCGGCTGAGCCCTGGCCCTGGCCCTGTCCTGCCGAGGGATCTTAGCACAGCCCAGGGTTCCTTGGACTTGTGGGCCTGGGTGGGGTGCAGTGAGGGGGGTCCAGGCCAGCCCCCGTCTGCCCAGGCCTGGCCCCCACCCCAGGCCCAGATCCTCACCTGAAAACTTCACCCCGGTGGCCGCCTTCACACCCCAAAGGCCAGCACGTGGCATATTTACCCAAGTCCACCCTGTGCAACCTCCTTCCATGTCTGAGTGTCATAGAAGAAAATGCGGTCCCGTGGCCGCATAAGTATGACCCCACGCACCTGGAGAGCTCCAAGGCTAGGCCAGCGCCGCCCTATGCCTGCCCCCAAAAGCACAGACCTGGGAGGCCGGGGGTCTGCCCCCGACTTGGCCCCTCGCCGACTGTGCCACCGGGGCCAGGTGACTCCCTGCTCAGGACTCAGTGTCTGCAAATCTGTGAAATAAGGGCTGGGACCACTGCAAAGAAGGCTCTGCCAGGGTGGCCCAGACGAGCTCTGTGGGGGCCCGACGCCCAGGGGCCGCCTGCCCCAGCCCAGCACAGCCAGTGCCACTGCCTGCGGGGACCTGGAACCCGCCCTCCCCCAGAAGCCTTCCTCCCCACCCCGCCCCCTGCCCCGGGGTGTGAGGTGCCCCCACCTGGAGCCTCGCTCCTCCGCGCCTCGGGGACACCTCCTCCTGCAGGGCCCATGCAGCCTGCACGCCGGCCTGTGGGGAAAGCGGGGCAGCTCACCTGGCTCCCAGGGCCTGTGGGGCTGCCTCTCGGGGATGGCCCCTCCCACTGCACAGGCTGGGAAACTGAGGCTTGGTTTATGTAAGTGGCCGGCACCTAGATGGTAGGGGCTGGAGAGGCCCCCCCCGAAAATTCCCTGCCCTTCCCGTCCTGCCTCAAAGTCAAGGTCCCCGGGGGCAGGTCTGGGGTGCCAGCTCCCTCTGCCTGGACTCCAGGCCCCTCCCCACCCTTCCTTCTCTCCTGCTGGCTTTGCTCCTGGACATCCCTCCCTTGGACTCCGTGCCAGGCCCGGGCCTGCCTCCTGGGCAGACCCAGGAGTGGGGGAAGGGGGGCAGAAAGGAGGTGGGGTGACCAGCAGGGCAGGGGGCCTCCCTCTGAGGAGCTGACGTGGGCCGAGGACCCGGTGGGGGAAGAGGGCTCCTGGCAGTAGGCACAGCCAGTGCAGATGCCCAGAGGTGGGACTACAGGAGGCCGGCGTGGCGGAGTAGCTGGGGGCCAGGTCGGGGCGGGCCTTGGAGGTCTCTGGACTTTACTGCCTTGTGACGGGGAGGCCACGGCTGAGAAAGACCCGCCAGCTGCCAGGTGCTGGGGCGCCTCGGGGTAGGGGGCATGCTGGTTCCGGGGTCTGGCCCCGTGGCCCGGGCCCGAGCAGCTCCCGGGACGGACCCTCAAGGTGCCAGGAGGGGGGCTCTGGGGGACCTTGTAGTGGTGGCCAGGGCAGGGTGGAGAAGGGCGGCCACCTTCCTCTGCCCCGGCCGGTGCCCTCTGCAGCTGCCCCGCGTGGCTCTGGGCTCGGGCGCGCTCACTCTCGGCCTCGCTCAGCCGGCAGCTCAGGCTCCCCTCCTGGCAGCGCCAGGCATCCTGGGGGAGAACCAAGGTCGGGGGCAGCTGGTGGGCGGGGGCGGGTGGAGGGCCAAGTACCGGGCTGGAGGGTGGGGTGGGGCAGCTCAAGGCTGCTCGGGCGGGACAGGGCGGTGGGTGGCTGGGCTGGCCTGCGGGTGCGGGGAGGGGGGCACCGAGGGCTGGAGTGGCGGCTGGGGTCCCGTGTCCAGCTGTGCGGGATGGACACAGCGGGGCAGCAGGACCTGCAGGGGCACGGGAGCTGGCCCGTGGGTGGGGTCAGGGTGACCTGCAGGGACGGCCCCCCGCCGGGGTCTGGGCCTGTGTGGGGCTGGAGCCCGTCCCCGGGGCTGGCACTGGTTGGGCGGGGCGGGGGTGGGGTGGGAGTGGAAGGGGAACAGGTGTCCGTGGAGGACCCCGTCACTGTCAGTCTGTCTCTTCCCACCCTCGCCCCTTCGAGTCTGGCGAATCTGGCGGGGGCAGCTCATGGACTGCCCTGCGGGATCCCCGGGGCAGCAGGGTGGGGTCACTGGGGCACTCTAGGGGGCCCTGGCCAGCTCCTGGGTTGGTTCTTCAGAGGACGGAGGGCAGCCCTGGGCAGTGGGGCAGCTGGCTTTCGAGGGCTGCTGGTATTTATTGGCATCTATCCCTCAGGGTCCTGCCAGGGTCTCAGTGGATCCAGGACGGACAGACAGAAGGACAGCAGACCAAGCGAGCAGCCCCTCCCCGCCCCCATTCCCGCTCCTGCCGGGCATCCCTCAGCTTCTGCGCCAAGTCCCTCAGGGCGTCCCTCACCGAGGCCACGGCCCCCTCTGTGCTGCAGTCTCCCGGGGCAGGCGAGGGCCATCGGAGCGGCGAGCGGGACCGGCCGGGGGTGCTGGCACTCTGCCGCCCAGGGGAACCCTGGGTGCCCTCTGAGCCTGCAGGACAGTGACGACTGAGAGAGCGTGGTGGGGATGCGGTGACAGACACACAGGTGCCCCGTCCCCCTTTCTCTCTGCCATCCCCGGCCATGGGGAGCCTGGGGAGAGGCACAGGGCTCAGGCCCCCGCTTCTCTCCTGCTGGCTCTGCTCCCAGACATCCCTCCTTTGGATTCCTAACCCTAACCCTAACCCGAGGGTCATGGGCCCTGGGGGGCGGGGGTGATGCCCCAGGAGGGTGACACAGCTGGGACAGGAGGCTGCCTGAAGCCACAGACGACCCTGACCTTTGGTGGGGGAGCCGGGCCGCTTGGGGGAGGCCACGGGGCTCTGTCCCCGGAGCCCCAGGCCCAGGCGGAGCGTGGACCACAGCCGGCCCAGCTGGGCCTCCGCCTCCCGCCTGGCGCCCTTGGCCTGGGCCACCTCCTGCTGCAGGCCGCCGAGCCGCTGGCAGGCCCCGTCCAGGCGAGCCTGGAGGCCATCGGCCGTGCCGCTGGCCTGCTGCAGCTCTCTGGTGACGCGGTGCAGCTCGGCCCGGAGGGCCCGCTCGGTGCCCCGGCTCTCGCAGAGGCGCTCCTCCAGCTGCTTCTCCCGGGCCGCGGCCCTGGCTTCCGCCTCCACCAGCGTCTGCTGCAGCCTCAGGACCTGGGGGAGGGACTCGGGGCTCCAGACCCACCTGCTCTCTGAAGACTCCCCAGCCCGCTTGGCCTTAGCCCCTGCTCGGCATGTCACAGCTAGGGGGCCCTGGACCTGCTTCCCACCCCCTGTCTGACTATGGGGACACCGAGCCCAGGTGGGGAGGGACACCCCAGAACCATGGAGCAGGTTCTGGCAGGCAGCAGAGCCCACTGGCAGCCTCACAACCCTGGCCAGACGGGGCGATGGCCCCAGGCTGTGCCCTCCTTGGCCTGCGTGGGGCAAGCCCCAGGCAGACCCTGCTCATGGCCTGACTCGTGCCCCCATCCCCTGGGATGGTCCCTCCATGGACTCGGGCAAGGTGCCCGTTGAATACTCATGAGTGAATGGGGGGTAAACGGAGACGCCACAGCCCCTCAGGAAGTGCCCAGGCTGGGGTGGAGACAGCCAGTCCCCCAGCTTGGGGCCCCGCGCCTGCCAGACGGGAAGCCCTGGGCGCTGCTGGGCTCCTACCTCCCTCTGTGAGCCCTCTCTGGCTGCCTGTGCCTCAGCCGCCAGCCTCTGCAGCTCCGGCATCCCCTGCTGTGCACCCTGTGTGCCCCGGACCTGCATCCGGCGCAGCTCCTGGCTCTTCCTCTGGTTCTCGGCCTCCAGTGACATCACCTGGGTGTGTGGGGTCGACACTGATGGGGTCGCCTGGGCCTCTGTGCCAGGCCTCCCTGACCCCTGCCTCTGCTCACATGGCCCGGGAGAGAGCCTCCCTCCCGGGCAGCAGACTGCACTCAGGGAGGCTAAGGCCACGTCCAGTTCCAGCCTGGGGTCTGTGCCGTGTCCCCCGCAAGACCAGGCCCTTGGAGCTGACTCTCTCTGCCACTCCACACCCTCTCCTGGTGTCTCGCCTCTGGAGCCAGGACACTCTGTGGAGCCCAGAGATGTGAAAAATGCGGGTGCAGAGGCCACTCGAGTGAGGAAGGGTGCCTGTGCCCGTCCCTACAGCAGACAGTTCACCAACCGATTTGTCTGCAGAAGTCTGGCAAAACTGGGCGTGCACACTTTGAAGGCAGTCTAGGGCCCTCCTGGGTGGGCTTGAGACCAAGGTGGTCAGTGTTAAATGGCCCTGACCTCGGACGCCAAGGCTAAAGGATGAAGCAGTACCCATCTGTGCACCCTGAGCCCTGAGGCGGCCATGACGGGAAGAACCCAGGCCACTCGGGGCCATGGGAGCTGCCCACCCCGTGCCCCCGACAGCCAGCATCACCACCGGGCGCCTGAGAAGACGTGCTGGGAGAGCCCCACCGTCGGTCCCTCTGTGGAGCGGAGTCCCCTCCGCGTGGCGCCCTGGCTGCACTCCTGGCCCTGAGAGTCCACGGGCGTCCGAATGGTTGTTTTAAGCCAGTAGGTTTGGGGCTTGTCCTTGTGCCCCACAGGCAGACCAAAGCCAGACCCCGTGAGTCCGAGCAGGGCCCTTCTGCTGTGGCTCCAAGTCTGGGGGTGGGGGGCGCTCCTGGAGGGGTGTGGGCTCCAGGGCGGCCCCTCACCTGTCTGCGTAGCTCCTGCAGCTGCCGGCGGGCGTCTGCCCGTGCCTGCTGTGCCCCCCACAGAAGGGCCCGCAGCGTGCCGGCCTCCTGAGCCGCTGCCCGCGCCTCCTCCAGGACCAGCACCTTCTGCGCCTTCTCCTCCTTGGAACGCTGAAAGCTGAGCAGAGGGTCACAGCCTTGGGCCGGGGAGCTCCCTGGGGGCTCCGGCATCCCCCAAGGAGACGGTCCTGGCCACCCGGCAGGCCGCCCGCCTCACTCCAGCCAGACACTCCCCACATCCGATTCGAGTGTGCCGAAGCCCAGCCTCCTCTGTCTGGGGACGCCTCTGTCTGGGTCCGACTGCCCAGCTCGCCGGGCCCCTCACCGTGTCTCAGCCCCTCTCCCCACTCCCCTCCCTCTAGCCACGCTCCTAGAGACCCAGTGTCCAGCATCCGCCGGCACCTCTGCTGCTCCCCCGGGGGGGCCGCAGCTCCGGCCAGGCTGTCCTGCCTCTGGTAGGCATCCCGGAGCCACTGACCAGGTCCTTGGCCTCCCTCTGCTCCCCAGCCCTGGCCACCTGGGGCCTGTCTTGCCTGCTGAACGGAACTTCCTGAGGGCGAGGACAGGCCTGGCGGCGTCCCAGCCTCCACCTCCCGGGCCAGCACCGTAGACCCTTTGGACGGGCAGCTGGCACCTGGGTCCGTTGGGTGTGTCCACTTCACCATCATCTGGCCCAGCTCAACAGGACCAGGGCTGCTCTGTGGGGCGGCCGCCCTACCTGGCCTTCTCCTGCTCGACTCTGCGGATGGTGGCCCGCAGCTCGGTGTTGGAATCCCGCAGCACGTCCTTCTCTCGGGCCTCGTCCTCCAGCAGCCGGCGGGCGTCCAGGGCCTCCCTGTGCAGCCTCTCCCGGCTCTCCTCGCTGCCCTGCAGCTCCCGGCGCAGGGCGGCTAGGCCCTCCTGGGCCTCGTCCAGCTGTGCCCGCAGCCTCTCGGCCTGGGGAGGAGTGTGTGTCTCTAGGGGCCAGCTGGGGGCCACGGGCCAGGGTCAGCTGTGGCCTCTGGCAGCGCCAGTGCCCCCCCAACACCCCGGCCCCGGGTCGTCAAGTGCTCGAAGGAGAAGCAGGCAGCCTGGCTTTGCCCACACCGCTGAGGCTGCAGGACGGCTCACAGGGGCCCATCCCAGAGCCCTGGCAGGAGACACCCTGGCCCTTCCTGACCCTGGTGCTGCCCTGCGCTCCCTCCCTGGACCCTGGGGACGTTGGTCACCGGTCAGCAGGGCCTGTGTGGGACACAGCTCGGCCCACACGTCTGCACTGTCCCCACCTGTGTCCCTCGGGCCGGCTCCTCCCCTTCAATAAGGGTGTGGACCCCGGGCCACCGCCCACCCTGGTGTGGAGAGCAGCCTCAGCAGCCCAGGTTCCTGAGCCCTGCACGGCTGTGGGCACGTCCACTGCCTCGGGCCTGGGCTCCCTCTCTGTGAGGGAGGGAGTGGGGAAGCCAGGTCTCTGAGCGACGGCACCCTCAGCGTCCTCTGGCCGCAGCAGGGCCGCTCGGACTGGGCTGTCGCTGTCACAGGAGCATGGTTCAAGGTGCCCGCCACAGAATCGAGGGCCTCCTAAACCCCAGGGGTGAGGGCAGCCGAGGCCCCAGGGTGGGAAGGCTGTGGAGCCAGTGGGGACCTCAGGGCCCAGCAGCCCGGACCCTGGCCTCAGGCCACCCGCACCTCTGTGAGCTGACCCGAGCAGGGGGAGAGGCTGCAGGTGTGTCCTCGTCCCCTGCCAGACCTGCTCCGGGCCCAGAGGGGGACTCCCACCGCGCTGGAGCCGGGACCTGTGTCATCTCCTGCTCCGGGGCCCTCCTCACCCCCTGGCTTCCGGGCAGGGCCTGCGGGCTCCGTGGTTTTGTGGGGCTGAGAGCCGAGCTGAAGCGTCCGTGGCGGTCAGGGTTCCTAAGCGCCCTGGGTTCCTAAGCTGCCTCAGGGCCCCCGGGGCTCACCCTCTGGTGGGAGGCGCTGGAGGGAGCGCAGACCCCGGGAAGGGGCAGCCCGGCCCGACATGCGGGCTCTGGGGCTCGGCCGGGATCCCTGGTCTCCCCACCGACCACTGGCGCACTCTGGAGAAGGCGTGCCCCAGAGGAGGAGGTGGGGGAAGCCACAGAAACGGAGCCTTGTCCAGGCGCTGGTTTGCCAGAGCGAGCCCCACTTTGCTGGCTGTTTCAGCGGGACACTGTCCAGGCCCCCGGCCGGCCTGGCTCCCGCGTCCGCCGGCTGTTATTGTTGTTCTGTTTTTGGGAAGGGCCCCCCTCCGCTCCCCTCCCGCCCCCCACATGTGGGAGCCACAACTGCGCGGAGCATTTTCCGCCGAGCTCAGCAGAAATCCACCCGAAGGTCAAGGACCAGCAAAAGGGCCTATCCATCATAAAAGAAGCTGTTTTCATTTCCCAGGGCCCAGGAGATGAAAACAAGCAAAACAAACGCGGGGGAGGGAGCCCCCCGCCCCCCCCCCCCCCCCCCCCCCCCCCCCCCCGCCTCATGAGAACAACCACCCCTTTTACAGGAATTTTACAGCCAAATCTCTTAATGTGATTATAATAATTATTTCTTTACTAGAAATTGTATAAACAGACTCTTTTGAAATCTCCTGCAGGGAAGTGACCCGAGGGCTCTGCACGGGGGAGGGGCTGCTGAGGGGCCCTGGCCTGTGTGTGCGTGTTCACACGTGTGCATGCATGTGCAAGCACACACGTGTGTATGCACACAGCATGCGTGAGTGTGTGCATCTGCACACACCTATGTGCAGACGTGCGTGCCCACATGTCCGTTCACACGTGTGTGTGATGCTCATACGTGTGAGGACTCTCGGGGTCACGTGTGCTGCTTGTTGCACAGATGTGGTGCCCATATGTGTTTGCATGTGTGAGTGCTGTGTCCACGCATGAGTGCATGTGTGTGCACTGCCACTCTGTGTGTGCACGTGTGTGCATGGGGGTGTGGTCTCCATGTGCACAGGCGGTGTATGTATTGCGTGTGATACACGCACACACACACACGCACGCACACACGCACATGCACACACGCATGCACGCACGTGTGGACCTCAGGCACGGCTGTGAGAGGCCTGGATGTTCCTCCAGTTTAAAGGCTGTGAAAGTGTTATGGTTTCCATGGCGACTCTGGGCCAGCCTGGCGCCTGGGAGGGTCCTCTGGGCTCCCTCCCCCTGCCATTGTTCCCCTTGCCCCCCTCACCCGCCTCAGCCACCACCCCGTCCCCATTCTGGGGCCCCTCTCCTTTCTGGGGGCGGCCGATCGGGGAACCTGAACTTCCCACGAGGCATTGCTTTCTCCCTTCACCCACCAGCACAAACGTGCCCCCCCCCCGGCTCCTCCCCCTGCCGCCCCCAGTTTTAAAATCTCATTCTGCTTCCCCGTGTGGTCGCTGACCGGGCCTGACTTCGAAATCTGTTGAAAGGAGACCTTTCTCTTTGGGGGCCAAAGTAAACAGGCTGTCATGTTCAATCACGCTCTCGTCCTCTCCTGGCCCGGCTCGGGGGGCTGGGGGAGGGCCCGGCCCCTCTGCTCACTCTGCTGGCCGCTCCCCCGCCCGCCTGCCAGCCTTGGCGCCCGGCCCGGGGAGTGCATGAGGTCGCTGGGCCCCGGGGCCCCTCCCCCAGCCCCAATCCCTGTGCCCGCCTGCCCGCCCCCTCCCAGCGTCCCCACGTCCTGTCAAATCCCCTTCAGAAACACCTCCCCAGCCTGCCTGCCGAGCTCCGCTTGCCCGGGCCCAGACTGGCCCCCACCCCGGGACACCTCACAAGGCTCTGGGGGCCCCGCACCAGCCTCTGGGCCCTGGCGGGGCCCGCGCGTGGCTGCCCCGGGACACCCCACTCGCTCTGCGTGTCTCCCCTGTCCAGGGCGGCCTCGCCCCCCCAGGGCCTGGTCCGGCGGCATCCAGGCCTCACGCTGTGTGCGGGCTGCACCCGCTCAGCAGCATCTCGCCCGGGGTCTCCCCACGGCTTGTTGGAAGGTGGGTCCCGGATGCGGGTCCCCTCCTACCCCTCAGGTCACACCTGCCTCGCAGGGGCCCCCCTTCCCACCCTGCCTCACCTCTCTCCTGGCGCTGCTCCGCTGGGCCGCCATCTCCCGGAGCCTCTCGCCCAGAGCCCTGGCCTCCCTCTGATGGGCCGAGACGGCGTCCTCGAAGTGGGCCTGCAGGGCCTTCAGGTCTGCGGTCGTGGCGCTGATGGTGGCCTGGGGGGAGCAGCAAGCCGGCCGCAGCGTCAAGTGTGCCTGGCGGGAGGCTCAGGCCCCCACGGGCAGCCCCACGCTGTGCTGGGCCAGGCGGGCAGCCCGCTCGGGCCACGTGAGGTGGGCCTGGGGCTCCGGATGACCACGGCCAGTGCCGCCAGTGCCGGTTCCTGAGGGTCCCAGTGGTGAGGGGGGCGGGGCAGAGGCCCCGGTGTCGGGGTCGGGGGGCGCTTCCTATGGGAAGGGCTGACCCTGCCCCCTGAACTTTCAAGCAGGCGGGTGGGATTGGGGGACGCTCCCAGGCTCTAAGTGTGAGAGTACCTGCGACACGCCTGGTAGGGGTCGGGGTCGTCCCTATTCGGACCCGCGGCTACGCCCCGAACTTGGATGTCCACGCGGGCGGGACTCAGCTTGGCCTGACTCTGCTTTCCGGTGGCCGCAGCGCCAAGACGCTCCTCTAGTGCTAACCGAGGGCCACCTGGAGCAGGGGGGCCTCTGGGCCACAGGCTTGGCCATGGCGGTGCGAGAACCCCTCCTGTCCATGAATGAGGACACCACCTGCCTACCCTGAGCCCGAGACCCAGCCTAGCTTCCTGGCCAGGACATACCCCCGCCACCGCCCGGGGTGGTCTGGGTCCCCAGGGGCAGTTTCCTCCGCAGGGCGAGGGACAGAGCTGGCTCTGTGCTCCAGGGAGGCCTGGTGCCCTGCTGCCCCCGACGGGGTCTCTGGGAGACACCCTTCCCCCGCCCCTTCCCAATTCACAGGCCACTGTCTGAGGGATCTGGCAAGCTGGGGCTCTATCAGGCCAAGCTTCCTGCCCTCGGGGAAGGAAGCTCGCTGGTGCCGCCTCTGTTCCTGGCCCCTGCTGTCCATCTCCACTGAGAAGTGTCACCTTGGCGGCCAGGTCTGGCTGTGCCCCCAGGACAGCCCCAGCGAGGCTGCAGTGAGCGCTTGGTGTGGCCAGGGTGGGGTGCGGCTGTCCATCTCCACTGAGAAGTGTCACCTTGGACGGCCAGGTCTGGCTGTGCCCCCAGGACAGCCCCAGCGAGGCTGCAGTGAGTGCTTGGTGTGGCCAGGGTGGGGTGTGAGTGGAAGGACTGCCGGCCAGGTCTGGCTGTGCCCCCGGGACAGCCCCAGCGAGGCTGCAGTGAGCGCTTGGTGTGGCCAGGGTGGGGTGCGAGTGGAAGGACTGCTTCCTCGGGATCAGGAACCGCAGGACGAAGCCGGGAGCCCCTGCACCGACGGGGGCCTTGCTTGTAGGTCACCCACAACTGCTGTTCCGTGGCCGGCATTTCTCCCCACCCTCCCCTCTCAGTGGGTTTTAATTTCCGTTTTCCAAGTCAAGGTGGCAAAAGAACCCTTAATGAGCTCCCGGAAGAGCCCAGCTGGCGGGCAGGCCCCCCCCCATCCAGTGGGAGGCTCAGAGCCAGCTCTAGGGAGGACTCCCAGAGAGGCTCCTCTGCGAGCCGGGGCCTCTGCTCCCGGGCCTTGGGGTCTTTCCTGGCCCGAGGGAGCAGCTAGGGGGTGGTCGGGGAAGGGAGGTCCCCGTCCCATGGGGCTCCCACACCCCTCGCGGCTGTGTCCATGGTAGGACAGAGCAGGGCGGGGGCTCCAGGGAGAGAGGCTCTTAGGCAACACCTTCCCGGGTGCCAGGAGCGGCCCGGGACTGCTCTGCTAGTGACCCGGGGGTCCAGGTCGCTGCATCAGGAGGGGGTGAAGAAACACCCTGGCAGCCAACCCCTAATTGCAACACTCCTTCCCTTGCCCAGCGCCCCTCCCGCCACGGCCCGCTAGGTCGGAGCAAACGGCCTGGGCTCCCCAGGCCTGCCATCTGGGTGTCCTGCCCTCGTCCAGGGCCCCTTGCAGTCTCTGAGCACGGCCCCGCTTGTGGGGTCAGAGGGTCGCCACCCAGCCCTGAAGCCTGCGTTCCACCCACTCACTTGTTCATGGACTCACTGAGCCATTAATGCAACACCAGGAGAGCATCTAACCCCGCACCCTTGGGGCTGGGGACACACCGGGGACCGGGGTGAAAAATGAAGGTGGGCAGGCTGGAAGAACGAAGGCGGGGGCAGAGGAGACATGGCGCTGGCCCAGCTGAGCCGACTGGGTGCGGCTGGAGTCCTGAGGGCAGGGTCCGGCTTTGCCCTCGACCACCCCCGCTACCTGCGGGGGGACTGCGTCCCCCAACCTCACCGTGAGCCATCCCCCCGGCCCCCTCCTCCCGTGGGCGGCAGGGCCCTGGCCTCTGCGTCACCCACCCGGGGCCTGGCGCCACTCCGTAAACAGGCCGAGGCTACCCTGCCGGCGACTGCAGCGGTGCCCAGCCCCGCCCGTGGGGTGGGGCACAGGGCCCCAGTGTGGCCACCCCTGCTCCCGGAGTCTTACTTGCTGTTGCCTGCTCTGTGCCCCCAGACGGGCGCTACTGAAGAGAAGCCAGGGGCCCCAGGTGACCCCAGCTGGCTGCCCACAGTGGCCTCCATGCACGTGGGGGCCTCTGCCCACTGGCCCAGGGTGGGCGGCTACCTGCTGGGGTCTCTTCTGGCCCCTCGGCAGATGCCTCCCTCCAGCTCTGCTGGGGATTCTCTATGGGGTCCTTCTGGTGAGCGCTTGCCTCAGTTACAACGCTGGCCTACCCGCTGGGTTTCTCCTTTGGGAGGGGCCTCTCCAGAAAGTCAGCCCCAAGAGGCCCTCGGAACCTCCTACAGCTATGCTGTGCCACAGGCAGCTGAGGTCAGACAGGGAAGGCCAGGGGCTGGGGGGCTGGCGGGCATAAGCCTGGTCTGCCCCCTCTGTTGCTGGTGCCAGGCCCTCCCTCTCTGGCTTCTGCCCAGTGGCACAAGGGTGACTGGCCTGCTGCCCCCCACCCCTGTCCCACCCCATCGCCTTTGCTTCCCGCAGAGACACTGTCCCCTCCCAGCAGGGGATCTGGAGATCCCTGGGGGAAACGGAGGCTCGGGTGGGCTGGGTGGAGGGGATGCATCCCTGGGACCAGGCAGGGAGGGGGCGCCTCTGGGGTCTGCCGCCCCTGCTGGGCTGTGCAGGCGGCCAAGCCAGGTGTCTCGCTCCGGCTGGGGTGCGGGCTCACCTCGGCTCGCTCCTGCCGGCCCCGGGCCTCGTGCTGCACCAGCTCCAGCTCCCACGCGGCCCTGGACAGCTCCTCCCTCAGCTGGCTGGTCTCCGCTTCTCTCAGAGACAGGGCCTGGGCGACAGGGGCAGGGTGCTCGTGAGAGGGCTGGGGGGCTCTGAGGAGAGGCTCAGCAGAATTCTGGGTGCCACGGCCCTGCCAGGACGCAGGCTCTGGGAGGAGGAGCCCCTCAGAGGCAGCTGCATCCTGAGGGGGTGGGTCCAGCCTGCCAGCCTGCGCTCAGGCAGCTCCCCTACCCCACCCAGGGTGCCTTTCCCCTCCCACCTGCTTCTGCCCAATACCTGCTCTCTCCCAGCGCAGGTCAGGGGGCTTCATGGGCCACCTCCTCCCTGGAGCCCTCCACCTGCTCCAGGCACAGAGCAGGAACTGCTAATCGTTCCTAACCTCCCCACGTGCTCCGCGTCGCTGAGGGTGAGGGGTGCGCGTGAGCCCCCGGAGATGCTGCATTTCACACACCAGCCCCGAGGTGGGAGGGACCCCTGCTCTGTCATCAGGCTGTGGGGTGGCAGGGATTTGGCAATGCCCGTCAGTCACAAATGCACATCCTCTCCCTGCCAGGCCCACTGGGGAGGGCAGCCTGGAGACACGCATGACCTACGCTCGGGGTCTCCGATGAGTATTTATAATGTTATTTATAATGACAACAAGACTCCCACCGAAGGGAGGCCAACAGAACGAAGGGGGATCCCTGCACACGTCGGGGCGTCATGCAGCTGTGGAAAAGAACCAGCGAGCTCTGAACACAGTGTGGAAGCCCCCAGGTCTGTTGATCCTGAGAAGAGAAAGGTCCAGAATATTGTGTGTCCTCTTCGTCCCTGTGCTACAGAGGCGGGCGTAGGAGCGTGTATTCCCACTTGCTGGCCTGTGCACGGCAGTCTCCGGGAGGAGGTTTGTAACAGAGTGTGTCTGCTTTTTGCCCTGGGTGCTGGGGGAGCCTCTAAGCCCCCGGAATTTCACAGGTGAGGGTTGTCTGTTATTTGCGGACCCTGGGGCCACACCTGAGCTTGTGCTAACAAGGTGGTCGGAACCCTGGGGCAGTGAGCCACTGAGACCGGCCTGACCACCCAGCCTCTGGGAAGGGGCTGGACCCTGAGTTTAGTCCATCACACCCACACAAGGAAACACCAATAAAACCCTGGAGTTTACCGGCTGGTAAACACCCTAATGTGCCAGTGGGTGGCCGGCCCTGGCTCTGCGGAGAGAGAGCCCGTCCCCGTGTCTCTGCACTGGGCTCGTCCTGGCCTGTGTCCTTTACAATAGCACTAACGGCAAGTGCGGTGCTTCCTGGAGTTCTGTGAGTCACGCTGGTGAACAGCTGAATCCGGGGCTCTGCCCTCCCCGGACATTCGTACGATGCTGTTCCTCTACCACAGCCTCCCGACCCTCCTTCAAGCCCCACCCTCGACACGCCGTCCTCACTTTCAGGAAGCAGCAGAGCGGAGTGGCCAAGGACATGGTCCCCACTGCCCAGCAGGTGTACCGTGCCGCCCTGGGCAAGTTATTCAACGTCTGTGAATCTCTGTTTCCCTCCAGTCAAAGGGGCCGATAAGAGCGTGAACCTCTCAGCGTTGTGAGAGTCAAACTAGAGATGCAGAGTCTGACAACAACCTTGGTTATTCCTGCTACTGTAACTCTTCTCCCACGATCTGTAGCTGTACCAACCCCTGAGCGTCCTGTCACAGTGCGACAGCCCACAGGAACGTGTTTACTTGTCCGTCCCCTTCACTCAACAGCGCGCGCTTCAGGGTGGCGCGGGATACCGGAACTGTCTGCACTCACAGGGTAGCTTTTACCTGCCCAGTGTCTGAATTCCAATGGCTTGTGGGATGGGAGGCGGGTTGGGTGGGTGGCTGATGGATGGACACACTGATAGCCGGCTGGCTGGTGATCAGATGGATGGAGGGATCATCAGACACGTGGACAATCAGTGGATGTGGGTGGGCAGCTGGGTGTGTGGATGGAGGGAAGGGTCTTTAAGTGAATGGATGGATGACTGGCTGGGTGAGTGGCTGAAGAGACGGATGGTCAGGTGAGTGGAGGATAGTTGTGTGGATGGACAGTTGGGTGGATGTTTAAGCAAGTTGATGGACAGATTCATGGTCACGTGTGTGAATGGCCAATTGGGTATGTTAATAGACGGCTATGTACGTGGGTAGACAGCTGGGTGTGTGAATAAAGGATGGCTATTCAAGTGAACGGATGGATGATGGACAGGGGAGTGGAGGGACAGTGAATTGCATGGATGTGTAAATGGGCAGGTAATTTAATGGGCAGATGGATGAATGGTTGGATGGGTAGATGGATGGGTGGATTGGTGGATAGATGGGTGGATGGATAGATGGATGGATGGATGGACAGGTGGATGGATGAATGGCTATGTGGCTGGATGGACAGATGGTTGGATGGGTGCGTGGTTGGATGGATGGATGGATGGACGGATGGATGGATAGATGGATGGATGGATGGATGGGTGGATGGGTAGATGGATGGATGGATGGATGGACAGGTGGATGGGTGCATGGTTGGATGGGTGGATGGATGGAAGGACGGATGGATGGATGGATGGATGGATGGATGGGTGGATGGATGAATGGGTGGATGGGTGGATGGTAGGTGGGTGGATGTCTGTCCACCAGGACTGCTGTGGAAGATCAAAGCTGCAATGACAGTGGCGTGGAAAGGTTGCCCCGCACAGCCCTCTCGCTGGGTCGGAGAAGGCAAGTGATCAGACACGAGAGCTCCCACTGCCTCGTGGTCGGCCCATCACCTGCTGCATCTCGCGTTCCAGCTGAAGGAGACTCTCATCCCGCTCACGCTTCAGGCTCTGAATCTCCTCCTGCAGAGGCTCCCTCTTGGCTGCACTTTTTGCCACCAGCTCCTCCTCCTGTTCCAGCCTGCGTGCCGCCACTTCCTTCTCCTCTGTCACAGACAGACTCGGGGTCTCCTGGGCCGAGGAAAAGGGACAGGCCATGAAGACTCACAGGTCAGGACTCGTGAGACCAGCAGGCGCCTGTGTTCCTGAGTGAGACTGGGTTCGTGGGACGTCAGGGCAGGACAGGTGCCCAGGGACCGTCCGGTCCAGCCAGCCTCACGCCGACACCTCACACGCAGTGACACGCGCTGCGAAGGGCTCTCTGGGCCCCAGCGGCTACCACCCCCCACTCAAGTCACAGCTCAGAAACTTTTCCTGAGCCTCCACAGAGCACCAGGCACCCTGACATGCAAAGTGTGTAAGGACGTGTCACTCGAGGCCTTCTGGGACTGTGACCAGCGGGACGTCTCAGAGGGGGACAGAGCTCCGTCCAGCTATGGGTCCTCAGACTGCGGCCAGGTCAGCCGACGCCCGTGGGTGCCTCTTCCGTGAGGGACAGGGCCCTGGCCGCCCACGCGCACTGTCAAGGGTCCTCTGGCCCAGCCTCAGCATGGCCTGGGCACCCCTGCCGCCCGGCTGGTCTCCTGGGCCCCTCCCCAAGTGCCTGCCGTCCCTGGGGACATGGTAGACTCCTGGGAAGCGGCTGGGCAGCTGGGGGCTGGTCCCAGGGAGGCAGACCTTCTCCCTCTGGAGCCGGGCTAGGTCCTCGAGGTGGGCCAGCGCCTCGCTCTCCAGGGCCAGCTGCGTGTCCTGCTCCTGCTGTATCATCTGCTGCAAGAGCCGCCCCACGTCCCCCTGCAGCTTCGTCTCCTGGACCTCCCAGGTGCACTTCAGCTGCTCCATTTGCACTGTGAAGGGACAGGCGCATCTGACACCCGCCGCGGGGCCCTCCCTCACCCCTACCTCATCCCCCGGAACACCCTGCGGCCCTGTGAGCCCCTGTGGAGTGGCAGCCCCCGGCTCTGAGGATACGGCCCAAGCCAGCAGGACAGAGCCCCCCAGGTGCCACTGCAGGCACGTGTCCTGATCCCAGCCTGCGCTGGGCAGCCTGCATGCTACAGGGTGGGCTGAGCAGGGACGGGCGCACAGGGGGTGGGGCCGGGGGCTGCCACACTGACCCTGTGGCCACAGCCCGTTCTGAGCCTCGGGCCAGCGCCGGCAGCAGTGCCCACCCATCACAGAGAATAGTGGCACAAGTCACTCAGACACACGAGCTCTGGGCTGCGTTTGGGCCCCTTTGGGGGCTGGGGAGTGGGAGCAGAGCATCAGGGGACGAGCTCATCTAAAGGGTCCGTCTGGGGCTGGTCTGGGGACAGGAGCCGAGGGGGCCTGTCTGCGGAGCACCTTGCAGGGCCTGCCGGGCCAGCCTTGCGCTCTGGGCCTCTCCCTCCAGCTGCTCCTGCCGTGACTGCAGCTGTGACGCCAGCTGTTGGGCCTCAAGGAGGCTGTTCTCCAGGGAGTCCCTCTCGGCCCTGCAGAGAGTCACCAAACAACAGGCGAGTCACTCACTGGCGTGACTGGCGGAGGATCCTGCCAACGAGGGACAGCGTGGAGCCCATTTGCTAGGACAGTGCCCGTCAAGGCTGGGATGGTAAATCAGAAGGCAAACGGGGGACAGCTCATTCATCGTAAATCTAAGAACAAACTGGACCCTGCATAAAAAATGTTCCAGGTGGACTAAAAAGCTAAAATGCAAAAACAATACAAATAGACAACAACTAAGCGACTCAGAACTGTAAAAATAGTAGAAAAAATCCAGAAGGGTATTTTATAATCTTAAGCAAGACATAAAAGCCACAAGACAAAAATAAGGAGGCCAACAGATCTGAATACACTTAAAGAGAGGGAGACGGAACCTTCTGTGCAGAAAAGATTCCACAAACCAAGTCAAAAGACAAGGGACAGGGCTTCCCTGGTGGCGCCGTGGTTGGGAGTCCGCCTGCCGATGCAGGGGACACGGGTTCGTGCCCCGGTCCGGGAAGATCCCACATGCTGCGGAGCGGCTGGGCCCGTGAGCCATGGCTGCTGAGCCTGCGCGTCCGGAGCCTGTGCTCCACAGCGGGAGAGGCCACAACAGTGAGAGGCCCGCGTATCGCAAAAAAACAAAACCCAAAAAACTAAAAACAGCACAGGGCTTCCCTGGTGGCGCAGTGGTTGAGAGTCCTCCTGCCGATGCAGGGGACATGGGTTCGTGCCCCGGTCCGGGAAGATCCCACATGCCGCGGAGCGGCTGGGCCCGTGAGCCATGGCCACTGAGCCTGCGTGTCCAGAGCCTGTGCTCCGCAGCGGGAGAGGCCACAACAGTGAGAGGCCCGCGTACCGCAAAAAACAAACAAACAAACAAAAAAAAAAGGGACAGACTTGGAGAAAATATTTGCACTAAATATGCAAAGGGTGAATGTCCATCACATACAAGGAGCTCCTGCCAATCAATGACAGAAGGCGTCTGATCCTACAGAACAATGAGAACAGTGACCGTTATTCACAAAGAAAACACAAATGGGGAATAAACGTAAGAAACTCACTGGTCCTCAAGGGGGTTCTAATCACAACTATGATGGTTAATCGATTACATGTCACATTAGCAAAAGCTTAAAATAACGATCATATCTAGTGTTGGCAGGGTGTGAGGGTGACTTTCTCTGGTTGGGGGGAGGGGGGCTGGGAAATTTCAGAACGTAAAGCGTGCATGTCTTTGGGCCACAGCAATCCCACTTCTAGGCGTCGGTTCTTCAGAAAATACACATGAACCAATGGCGCAGCGCAGCGACGTTCCCCGTAGCTCCACACGGGGCGTCAATCACACTCAGCTTCGATGCCATGAAATGCTGGAATGTTTCAGAAACTACGGGGCATCTCGTTAGCTGCTAAGACAATGAGGACATTCTCTTAAAGAGTCACTCTGAGAAGCAGCCTTCAGAGCGGAACTCGTGCAGCACGATTCCCCCGCGTGAAGAAGCCGCCTCTGCGTCTGGGCACAGACGCAGCCCTTCAGAAAGTGCCTGGGGTGCACGAGGTGACTCATGGCGGCACCCGCTTCGGGGGCGGGTGATGACACGGACTGCGTCTCTGACAGCAAATCCATCAGTCACCAGCCAGCCAACGAGCGTGTGCTCGGTCCAGTGCTGGGTGACGTACGGTGAAAAAACCAACCAACTAACCAACGAGGACACACCACACTCAACACAGATGCCCACATGAAGACACAGACAGCCGACGCGCAGCCCCAAACGGCTCGGTGGGTCAGGGAGGGCCACGGGCCATGGGGGACCTTGCTCAGCCTGTCCCGGCCCCGCCGCAGTCTCCCTCGGGCCCCCTGCACACCTCTGCCGCCAGTGTCAGAGTGGGGTGTTGTCAGCACCTTCCGGGGCGCCCTGGTGTCTGCAGAGCCCAGGAACCTCACTCCTCTGATATCCTGTCCCCCCTCCAGTCCCCACCCTCTTAAGCACCTCACATGTTCCCCACTCTCCACGTCTGGACGGCTCTCCCCAGCTTTCTGTGCCCACCCGGGCCCCTCTGAGGGGAGTGACCTGTGCCGGTCCCAGACACTCTAAGGATGTGTCCAGTCTGTCCCTCCACCAGAGCCTGGGAGCATCTCACTTCCTGGAAGGAGGCCCGGCACCACCAGCAAGGGTGCGTGGGATACAGGTGGGGACCCCAGTCCATCTTGCTGGAGCCTGAGAACTAAAAGAGGTCCGCGGCACCGCAGCCTTGTCAGGGCCTGGGACGGGGGTCCGGAGGACCTTGAAACCTGGGCTCCTCGGTCATCAGGAGAAGCAAGCCATGTCCTGTGCCGCCCTGTCACCAGAAGCTCAGACTGGTCCCTGTGAAGTGCTGTTTAGTGGGTGTGGGACTCCGTCTGGGAGCTGCAGGGCCTCCATGCACAGAGGCCCTGGGCCCAGTGCTGAGGCTGGCGGAGGGTCCCCTGACCAGGGCCCATGCTCTGGGCGGCAAATGCTGGCGGGAGGAAAGAGGCCCCCTTCCCTGTCCTCTGAGCACTGGTGGGGCCTGGGACGGGGCCAGGAGTGGGGTCTTGGGACCCTCTGCTGCCAGCCACCAGGAGGAGACTTCATCGGGCTTCCTGCTCCAACTTGTGGCCATGCTTTCCTTGGGAGGAGAGGTCTTCTGTGAAGAAGTTCGAGGACCTGGGCCTCTAAGTTTCCTCATGGCCCCCAGTACTGGAATTTCGGGAGGAACTCTTTCTACAAAAGTACTTCGATGTTCCTGAGGAGGGCACAAGGTGCAGAAAGCCACCAGCTTATGGATGTCCTTACAGGCCACAGGTCAGCTCAGCTCACCAGGCAACAGCTGGCAGGGCACCCTGTTCTCGCCTGCAGTGTCTGTTCCAGGTGTCCTGGAAGTGGCCCCGATGGTCTTCAGGGTTCACCCCCACCCCCAGCCTCGTGGTTCCCTGGGGCTGCCACCACCCGGGCTCCAGGGGTAGTCACGGGGCCCCAGCCTGCATGTCGGAGCCCTGCGACGCCCAGGATCTCCTCAAGGATGTCAAGCGGCTCAAGACGGCTGTGGGCAGTGGGGAGAAGGGCACTCTGTGTCTGCTGGAGGAGGAGCTGGGCGTGGCTGCTGGCCATCTGGCCAGCTCTCACCCCGAGCCTGCCCGGGAATGAAGTCTCCTTAGAGTTGAGCCACGCTGATGGCGGAAAGGCAGGCTGTTGAGAGCACCAGGAGCGCCTGGATCCAGCCTTGCCTGAAGCCGTGTGTACCCTGAACTGCTCAGATCCATGAGCAGGACGTTCCACACCTTTTCTTCTGCTGGTCTGAGGTGGGCCAGTGCAACCATCTCTCTCAGGAAAACTGTTCTAGGAAGGCTCTCGCTGCATTCACCTCTTCTAGGTGCTCTCTGACCCCACGGGCACTGTGTTTGCCCCTCCCTTACAGCCTCTCTCCCATGTAGACATACCTGCCCTGCCTTACAGTTGCTGAGTGACTGCCCATCCCTGCCACACCACAGGCTCCCTGAGGTCAAGGCCACATGACCCCAGGTACCTGAGGTCAGCTGCCTCCTCAGCTGTGAGCTGGCCCTGCCTCTCCAGGGCCTGCTGCTTGGCCAGCAGCTGGGCCCGCTCTTCAGACAAAGCCTCCTTCTCCTGCAGGGCCCTCTGGAGCGTGTCCATGTGGGCCTCCTGGTCTTGCAGGCTCTGGGCCAGCTGCTCCTCCAGGGCCTGTTTCTTGCATGTGACCTAGGGGAGGGGGAGGGGAAAGTCCAGCAGAGAGAGTGGAAGTGTGAGGAGGGGCCTCTCCAGGGAAAAGAAGGACTTCAGAAAAAGTGGTTTCATGCAGAACGGCATGGAGGAAAGAGTGGAGGAGGAGGGTGGCTATGAGACATATTGGACCCCTGGTGCATGTGTGTTTTCACAGCAGAGGGACCTCCACTCCTGTCACCATGATGGAGAAATTATTGAACTGAGCACCCCCAGGTGGGACCCAGCTGCCAATCTAAATGGTAACCTCTGTTGGGTCACAAGTTTCTGGGGTCAGGAGACATGGCACAGAAATGCAAAGAAGGTGACAGAGGAACAGATTGTAGCAGACTAACACCTCCACCAAGAACATCACAAAAATCTAGACAAAACCTATCACAGGAATCTGTATAAGGCCTCAGAGAGCTGTCAAGGTAGCTGGGTCTGAAGGAGCCAAGATCTTGGAGGAAAGGGAAACAGAAGAGTGAGACCACCACTCAGTATCTCTTCTCTCCTCAGAGCATGTGCTGTCCTATTATGAATAGGACCAGAAAGTGCAGTGGAGCATCCAGAATGTCAGGCAGGACGTCTGGCAATCTCAGAATTGAGACACAAACACCCAGAGTTCAGGGTGGGGGCCCTAGTTAGGAGCACAGGAGAGCCATACCATGAGGTCAACACCCCGAGGTAGCTCACTCTTCAAAAAAGACTGAAACCAGTTACAAAACAGCTAAATCCAAGACTGGATAAAGGTGATCTGCTCTGACTCTGATATCCTAAAATGAAAAGCAAATTCCCTTTGGAAGAAGTTTATATCACCCAGAGCCTCAAATTAGCTCTACAAAACCTCAAAATCTGTCATTCAATAAAAAATTATTAAGCACCAGGAGATAAGGCCAAAGGACTGAAAACGAAGAGATAAAAGACAATAGAAATAGACCCAATTTGGGGGTCCAGATGTTGGAGTTCTCAGACAAAGACCTGAAAAATGTTATAATTAATGTGTTCAAGAACATATCCAAGAAGATGGAGAATTTCACTAGATAGCTGAAGTGTGTGTGTGTGTGTGTGTGTGTGTGTGTGTGTGTGTGGTTGAAGTGACCATTTGAAGCAGAAATATTAATAATGTATTACAGAGTTTATAACAACATATGTATAAATAAAATATATGGCAACAAGCCCTAAGGATGGGAGGGATAAATGGAATATATTGTTGTCACGATCTTACATTGTTTGTGAAATAGTATAATGTTATTTTAATATAGACTGTGCATACCATAATTTTAAAGTAATCACTAAAATAATAACAAGAAGAAGTATAGCTTTAAAAAGTTAATAGAGAACATAAAATGGAATACTAAATAAATATGCAAATAACCCAAAAGAAATCTGGAAAGGCAAAATGTAAAAATTTACAAAAAAATGAGATAAATAGAAAACAAACACCTAGATGGTGAACTTGAACCAAGCATATCAACAGTTACCTTACATGTAAACGATGTAAACACTCCAGTTGAAAGGTAGAGATTGTCAGAGTAAATACAGAAGCAAGACCCGACACACTTCACATATACAGACATAGAGAAATGAAGGTCAATGTATGGAAAGGATATAACATGGAAACAGTAAGTAAAGAAAGTTGGTGTGGCTATATCAATATCAGAAAAATTAGATATCAAGAAAACAAATGTTACCAAAGATAAGAGGAGACATTTTATACAGATAAAAAGTCAGTTCAGCATGAAGACATAAAATACTAATTTGTGTGCTCCTAAAAATAGGAATTCAAAATATATGAAGCAAAAGTAGACAGAACTAAAGATAGAAATAGACAATTCCACAATCATAGAGATTTAAATGTCATTAATAGAACAAGTAGACAAAAAAATAAATCAAACTAATAAAGCAAACAAACTAATAAACCCCATAAGGACACAGAAGACTTAAACAACAGTATCAAGCAACTTGACTTAACTGATATTTATAGGCACTACACTCAACAATGGCATAATACACATTCTTTTTACATGAACATGGAATGTTCAACAAAATAGCTAATATGCTGGGCCATACAGCATGCTTCAATACATTTAAATCTGTTCAAATAATATGGAGTATATTTTCTGACCTTATTGGAATTACATTAGATGTTGATAATAATTAGATACTTAGGAAATTCCCACATTTGGAAATTAGGTAATATATGTCTAAATAATCCATGGGTCAAAGAAGAAATCACACAGAGAATGAGAAAATAGTTTGAACTGAATGATAATAAAAACACAACAGGCAAAATTATTAGAATGCAGAAGAAACAGCCACAAGACCAAGTAGGAAATCTGAATAGCCCTATATCTAATAAATAATTAAATTTTTATCAAAACTTTTCTCACAAAGAAAACTCCAGACTTAAATGACTTCACTAGTGAATTCTACCAACATTTAAGGAAGAAACAGAAATTTTAAAACACTTTCAGGACATAGAAGAGGAGGGAACACCTCCCAACTTATTTTGTGAGGCCAGCATAACCCACATTCCAAATCTGACAAAAACATTATGAGAAAAAAAATTATAGACTAATGTTCCTCATGAATATGCATGTCAAAATCCTTAAAAAACATTATGAAATTGTTTATCTCAGGTATGCAAGGTCGTTTTAACATTAAAAAATAAACCAATATAATTAGCTGTATTAACAGAATAAGAATGATGGCATGATCATCTTAATTCATTCAGGGAACACATTTAACAGAATTCAAAACCCATTCATAATTTAAAAAAAAATCTCAGCATGCTAGGAATAAAAGAGAGCTTCCTCAATCCGATAAGAGGCACCTATGAAAAGCCTATAGATAACATCATACTTCATGGTGAAATATTGAATTCTTTCCTCGTAGTTGAGTTTGGTAGGAGGATGGCCACTCTCACTACTTCTTTTCAATTTTGTTCTGTAGGTCTTTAGCCAGTGAATTAAGAGAAGATGAGATAAAAGTCACTGAGATCAGAAAGGAAGTAAAACTGTTGTTATTCACAGATAACATGATTATGTACATGTAAAACCCTGGCGCTTATCAATGAATTTGTCAAGGTTGCATGACTGAAAGTTAATCAACGAGATTATATTTCTATATACTAGTAATGGACATAGGAAAATGAAATTAAAACAGCAAGGCACAATATCAAAACTAGGAATTAATTTAATCAAAGACGTGCAAGACCTCTACACTGAAAACTACAAAACACAGCTGAGAGGAATTAAGTCAAGAAAAAAATGGAGAGATATACCATGTTCATGGATGGACAACTAGATACAGTTAAGATTTCCAGTCTTCTCAAATTGATCTATAAATTCAACACAATCCCAATCAAGGTTCTACCAGGCTTTTTTGGGTATAGAAATTGACAATCTAATCCTAAAATGTATATGAATATGCAAAGGTTTGAGAACAGCCAAACAATCTTGAAAAGAAGGATAAGATGGGGATACTCACATTACTTAATTTCAAGACATTAAAAAGCTACAGGGGGCTTCCCTGGTGGCGCAGTGGTTGAGAGTCCGCCTGCCAATGCAGGGGACACGGGTTCGTGCCCCGGTCCGGGAAGATCCCACGTGCCGCGGAGTGGCGGGGCCCGTGAGCCATGGTCGCTGAGCGTGCGCGTCCGGAGCCTGTGCTCCGCAACGGGAGAGGCCAAAACAGTGAGAGGCCCACGTACCACAAAAAAAAAAAAAAAAAAAAAAAGCTACAGGAATGAAGACAGTGCAGTTTTGGTGAAAGGATGAACACATAGATCAGTTTGCACAGATCAACAATATGATCTGGGCACATATATGCACATGTATGATCGATTTATTTTCAACAACTTGCCAAGATAATTCAAGGAGGAAAGGAAAGTCTTTTTGAAAATTGGTGCTGGGACAACTGGATATTAGTATGAAAAATAATGGACTTCAGTTCCTATTCATACCACACACCTGACTTCAGTTCCTATTTCATACCACACACCTGTGGTTCTCACACCTTAATGTGCATCAGCGTCACTGGGAGGGATAATTAAAATCCAGATTTCTGGGCCCCACCCACAGAGTTTCAGATTCAGTAGGTTTGGGGAGGGCAGCTGAGAATTTGCATTTTAAACAAGTTCTCAAGAGATACGAATGCTGCTGGTCTGAGGAACACACTTTGAGAACCACTGCTGTACAGAAAAATCAACTTGTAATGGATCATAGACCTAAGAGCTAGACGAAAACAGAGCAGGATATTGTCTCGTCCTTGGGCTAGGCAAAAAGTTTTCAGACAGCCCCTAGAAAACACTAACCATAAATTTTTTTAAAACTTGGTAAACTGAATTTTGCCAAAGTTAAACTTTTCTGTCCATCAAAAATACCATTAAGAAAATGTATATTTAAAAAAAAAAAAAAAAGGGCTTCCCTGGTGGCGCAGTGGTTGAGAGTCCGCCTGCCGATGCAGGGGACACAGGCTCGTGCCCCGGGCTGGGAAGATCCCACATATTGCGGAGCGGCTGGGCCCATGAGCCACGGCCGCTGAGCCTGCGCGTCCGGAGCCTGTGCTCCGCAATGGGAGAGGCCACGACAGTGAGAGGCCCGCGTACCACCCCCACCAAAAAAAAAAAAAGAAAATGTATAGGCGAGTCACAGAAACGTGAGTACATCTGTCTGGCAAAGTACTTTTATCCAAGATATACGAACTCCTACATATCCATAACCGAAATATGAAAACCCAATAAAAATAGGCAATAGACTTGAATAGATACCTGACAAAATAAGGTATATGAATATTTAGAAAGCATATGAAAATGTGCTTAATGCCATCTGTTATCAGAAAATGCCAATTAAAACCACAATGGCGTATCACTTCACACACACAGAATAGCTAAAAAGTAAAGACGGATGATGCCAAATGTTGACGAGGCAGAGGAGCGGCTGGAAGCCTCCCACGCTGCTGGTGAGTAAAATGATAGAACCACTTTGGAAGACCGCTTGCCGGTTTCTTATAAAGTTCAACACACACCTACCCAGTGACTCCACAATTGCACGCCTATGTATTTACTCGAGAGAAATGAGAACATCCACACGTGACTTGACCATGAACGCTCATCACAGTCTTGTCCACTCCCCAAATGGAAAGAACCCAGAAGTCCAGCAGCGAGTGAATGGATAAGCAAGCGTGGTTTATCCGAATGATGGAATATTACTATGCAGTCAAAAGGAAGGAGCTCTTGATACACCTAAGAACAGGGATGGCTCTCAAAGACGTCATGTTGAGGGAGAGAAGCCGGGCTCAAAAGAGTCTATGCGCCATGGCTCCATTTACAGCAAGGTCTAAAACAGGTCAGGGCAGAGGCCACCTGGGGGGCCGTGACAGGAGGGAGCCTGCTGGGCTGGTGGAGACACTTTGCTTACAACTGTCAAAAACTGTGCACTAGCTTACTGAGTGTAGTCACCCTTTGACTAAAAAAAGAGGAAAAGATGACCCCAAAAAGGCTAGGACAGTCTGAGAAACAGAAAGAGGCTGGACTGAGTCCCAAAGGTGACAGACCATGAAGTCTGAATGCCACTGGGGGCCGGAGACGCTGCAGAGACAGGGTTTCCATGTGGACCGACAAGGCTGATGTCAGGAGAAAGCAAAGGTGCTGCAGTGTCTCGTCCCAGGGAGTCTGACCTCCTCCATGGAAGATCCACGTCAGCAGATTTGGGAATGAACGCAGGAATGCAAGAGCGAGTGAGTGACGGGGCAGCTCTTTTGTGTGGATGTGGTCCAGGAAGGAGAGAAACAAGACAACGGAGGAGGAGTGAAGCCTTCCCCCCGAGCGTGTGAGCATCAGTGGGCCCGAGGCCTTCGACCCTCTGACCAGGGGAGAACCCAGCCCCCGGATGTTGGGGACAGGCCTGATGTAAAGGTCCTTCTTTGTGTGTTCCTCCCCCGTTCCCCGCCTCCCAGCCCTGCGGAGACGGCTTCGAATCAGCCACGTCAGGCAGCATTGCAGTTAGAAGGCGCTGGTGCTGACATGCATCCTGAACCAGCGTGACTTCCAAAGGTGCCGTGTGCCCGGCTGCCCCAGAGGCAGCGGTGGCCCTGCTGGGTGGGCCTGGGGGCCCGGGGCCCCGCGGACCCCTCACCTGGCCCACCTGCTCCAGCTGCCGCCAGAGAGGCAGGGAGGGGTCCATGTGCAGGCCCCGCCCCCACACCCTCAGCCCCCAAGTCCAGGAGGGGAGAAGGCGGGGAGAGCACGGGTGAAGGGAGGGCCCTGAGCTCAGGGGAGCAGGGTGGGGGCAGGAACTCACAGCCACGCTGGGGAAGCGAGGCTCAGGCAGGGTCCGTCCCCCTGGGCCCTTGTCTCACCTGCAGGACCAGGTGGCTCAGGAAGCCTTTGTCCCGAGCCAGCCCCGCCATCAGGGCAGCCATGTCAGCCAGGGAGTGTCTCTGCTCCACCCCCTCTGCCTTGAGCTGGCACACGAGCAGTTCCAGGTTGGTTTTGCTGGACTCGGCCTGGGGGGTGGAGGGAGGGCAGAGGGCACCCCAGCGGGGAAGCCAGGGAGGGACTTTCAGGTTCACGGGCAGAGCTTCCCCTGGGCAGAGCTGTTAGCGCCGGGGAGGGAGTGAGCCCCGCATCACGGAGGTGTGCGAGCCGGCGCTCTGGGTGGGGCCTGGTGGAAGGGTGCCCACGGTGGTGAGGCCTCTGGGGCAGACGGTGGCCCCCGGATACAAGGCTGCAGCCAGGAGAGGTGACAGGGCGACCGAGGGAGGGGGCACCCTGAGAGAAGGTGTGCCCAGCACTCAGGGAAGGTGGGCCGGTGCCCACTGGTCAGGGACCCAGGAGGCCGCCGCTGAGTTTGGGGGCTCTGGGGATGGCCTGAGGGCCCAGGCAGCGGGGAGAGAGGAGTGGAAGTCGTACCCGGGCCAGGGCCCTGCGCAGAACCTCCGCCTCACTCTGCAGGACGTCCCTCTGCAGCCGTGCTGTATTCAGCACCTCCTGGGCCGACACCAGCTCCTTCTTGAGCCCCGAGACCTTCTCCTCCAGCTGCTCCAGGCGCCCTTGACTGAGACCCGGAAACCAGAGGGCGCTAGGTCACCTCAGGGCGAGACGGGGGCCGGCAGGCAGGGCAGCTCCCTCCAAGCCCAGGGGCCCCAGAGGAGCGCGGCTCGCCCTGCAGGCCAGGAACCGCTGAGCCCTTTCTGGCTGGGGGTGGCACTGTCAGCGGAGGCCTGGCCCACACGCCTGGGTGAGCAGCGCGGCACACACGCTGGGGCACCCATCTCGGCTGGGCCCAGGGTGGTGGATTTGCCCCGGGGTGGCGCTGGGCCGGACTTGGAGTGGGTGTCTGGGTGGCGGTGGGGGCCGGCCGCTGTGGGCGGGGCCTGCTGTCTCGCTAGGCACCCCGACCCCTCAGACGAGGCTGGTGCAGAAGAGGTCGCATCAGCAGCCGAGGACGCGGGGCCCAGAGGGGACAGGACAGCCCGCTGGTGGCGGCGCGGCGCCCCTGCCGTCCAGCTCCCTCCGGCCCTGCAGGCCCTGCTTCACCAGCTCCGCCTTCTGCCCCGCCCCCCGCAGGAGGCTTCTCTGCAGCCCCGCGCCTGGCCTCCGGACTCCGCCGCTCCTCGTCGTCCCCTCAGCTCCTCCACCCTCCTCCCTGGGAGCAGGGGAGAAGCCGGGGGGTCCCGGGCATGCAGCAGGGAGGGGAGCCCAGGGACCCAAAAGCCCTGGAGGGCCTTGCGCCCGGGGTGTGCCTGCCCTCGGCCTCTGCACCTGCAGAACCCAGCGGGGAGGAGGGGCACCTGCCCGACGGGAGCCCCACAGCTCCAGGTCTGCTTGCGCTGCTGACGTCCCCTGACTGCCGAGCCTTGTCAAAGCTGTGCTCGCTGCTGACCCGCCCCCGTCGCCCCGGCCAGGTCCCCTCTGCCGGTCACCCACCAGCCAGGGCTGCAGTCTCAGCAGCTCTCTCCCGGCCGTGCTCTGAAGCACCGAGTCCTGAGGCCCCATTTCCCAAATGTCCCTGGGATTCAGCCCCTCCTTCCCCGGTGCTGAGGGGCCGCTCCAGCCTGCCTCCCACCCCCCTGGCCCTAGGACGCTGCAGCCAGATCAGCCCTGCCAAAGCCACGGCTGTGAGGGCGGCGCTGCTGCCAACGGCTCCCCCGCGGCCCCCGTGACCTCTGCTCCTTGGCGTGGTGAGGGGGCCCCGCCTGCCTTGCTCTGCGCCCCACACCTGCTCCTGTCTCCCCCTGGCAAAGCTCTTCCCGCCCCCCGGGGGCCCCCGCTGGCTCCTCCGCTCCCGGGCCCCTGTGCCAGGCTGAACCCGCCTGCTCCCATCTCTTTGCCCATCTCCCGTGTGTTTCTCCAGAGCGGGACCAGGATGAATTTTTTCTTTGGACCTCCTGTCTCAGAACCAAGTGCGCTGTCAGGACACCCGGAGAAGGGGCGGCCCCGAGGGACCTGCAGTCCCAGACCCCCGGGGTGAGCGAGGGGAAGCACAGGAGGTGGTCCTGTCTGCCCCTGCGTCGCTCCCTCCTGCAGGAAGCCTTCCTGGGCCGCCAGCCCACTCCCCGCCCCATCTCCCGGCTCGGGCAGTGTGTGGATTTGGGAAGGCCCACTGAGCCTCTCACTCAGGACTATAAATCCTGGGGGATTCTCGTTTCAGGTCCTTCACCCCCACCGGCCCCAGGGCAGTAAGACGTGCACAGAAGAATCCAGACAGCCTCACGGCCGACTGCACCACGGAACAGCAGAGCCGCAGGACACGCCAGGAGGGCATGCGGGGCCACCCCAGCGGATGGGGCGGGAGTTGGGGTTTTATGGACCACCTGTGAAGGCTGGGTAAGACCCCCGGAGGAGTCCTGGCTGCCAGCGGGGAGGTGGGAGAGAGCACAGCCTGCTCCCAGGAGGGGAGTGTGGAAATGGGCCGGGCGGCCGGGAGCCTGGGATGCAGGCCAAGGGGCAGGCACGTGCTCAGCCTGGGCTTTGGGAGGGTGAGTCCTGGGGAGACAGCCCAGACGGGCCCAGACGAGGGAAGAGGGGCTGTGCTCAGTGCAGGCAGGGGCTGGGGGGTGAAGGGGCGAGGAGGCAGCCTTCGGGCCAGGAGTACTTCCTGTCCGGGAAATGGCCCTCACTTCTCCTGCGGGGGGCATCGTGGAGAAGGTGAGCCCAGCCGCCAGCCTCACCTTCCCCGGAGCTCGCTGGACTCCCGGCAGCGCTGCGCCTCCAGCTTGCCCAGGAGGTCCTGGCGCTCCCGGGACTGCTCCTGCCTCAGCTCCTGCAGGAGCCTCCGCGAGGCCCGCAGCTCCCGCTGGCTCTCAGACAGCTGCTCGTGGAGCCCGGCGGCCGCTGCCTCGGAGGACTCTAGCCGCCGGCGCAGCTCCTGCCCGCGAGTGGGAGCGTGGCGTGAGCCCCGTGGCCTGGCCAGGCCTTCGACCACAGAAGCCAGCGGGGCTCCCGACTGCCCACTTCAGACCGGAGACCCTGCCCGGGGTGTGGGGTCCAGGGGCAGGCGCCTGGTGGGCTTTGTGGCTTTGCTCTGGTGGGGACGGGGCACAGCGTTGCCTCTGTGGCCGCCCACCTGCTCCCGCTGCCGCCGCCTCTCAATGACCACCTGCACAGCCCGCAGCGCAGGGTCCAGGGCGGCCGGGGAGCAGGCCCGTGGGGGGGATGCGGCCCGTGGGGGGCTCCTTGGTTGGCCCCGTGCCTCCTGGCCTTCGGTGCTGCCGCTCCAGGCTGGCTCCGGGCACCCCGCGTCTGCCTGCACCACCTTCAGGGCGCAGGGAGGAAGGGGTAGAGGGGAGAGAGTGCAGGGCTGAGGTCGGACAGGTCCTTCCAGAGCATCTCCCGGGCCTGCTTGAAGCACTAGGACCCTGCAGCCCCTCCGCTGCTCCACGCGGGAAGGACCCGGGACGGGCCCGCACCTTTGTGATGCTGTCCGAGGTGAGCTGCAGGGATTCCACCTCAGCCCTCAAGTCTCCCGGGGCCGGCCAGCCTCCACTGCGATGGGACTCCTGCTGGGGCGGGGGAGGCTGCTCAGCGGGGCCCGGGTTCCCCCACCGCGAGCCGCCCCTCTCCCAGCGCCACGCACCAGTTTCTGAACCTCCGTTCTGAGGGAGGAGATGGTTTCCTCCTTGTCCGCGTTCTGCTCTGTGAGCTTCCCCACCAGCAACGTCTGCTCCCAGAGTCTGGAGAGAAGTTGGGGTGGGGTTGTCAGTGCAGAGAACAGAGGCTGGGGCACTGGCGGGCCCTGGAACCCCCCGGCCCCGTCGGCCACCTCCTGGGGTGCGGCCTGCCTGCTGGCTTTGGCCGCCTCTGCCTGCGTGGACCTTAGTCCCGCTCCAGTCAGACACCTCTCTTCTGCTCTAGAACCTGCAGTGGCTCCCGCTGTCTCAGGGTAGAGCGCAGAGCCCGACTGCAGCACTGAAGGCCCCCGCTCTGACCCTGACTCAGCTCTCTAGCCCCACAGCGTGGCTTCCCAAGGCCCTGCTCTGTCTTTGGGGTGTGGCAGGTGCCGTGCTCACCTCTGGGCTTTTGTCCCGGCTGGTCCCTCTGCCTGGAACTCCTCTGCCACCATAAGTCTAATGGTGTCATTGTCTTTCCTTCCCGGGACCGCCTTCTTCTCAAAGGCCCCTGGCTGCCCCCCAGCACCCGGGCCTCCCTTCCCGTGGGCCCAGAGCCCTCGGCTCAGGCCCCGGGCGCTGAACCCTCGGGCTGCGCTAGACCGCCCGTACCCCCGGGCCCGCCGCGGCTCTCCTCTGGGGCCGGCTCCAGTGTGTTGGACTTGCTGACCCCGAGGGCGTTTGTGACCCCGTGAGCCCCAGGTCCCGTGGAACAGAGGCCCGTGGCAGCGTTAGGAGCTGCCTCCTGCTTCCTGCAGAAGCTGTCCTCACGAGACCTTCGAGCGCCACACGTGAGTTCGGTGTCCAGAACCTCCCACGATAACCGGGGGTGGACCCCGGCCCCTCTGGGGGCCCTCAAAACAGGCACCCACCCCTGAAAGGATAGGCCTTTTAGGCCTGAAAATTCCACTTCTGGAAGCAGCCATGGGGAAACAGTGCGAGTGCACCCAGGGCAGTGTCCACAGAGACGCGCCCAGTCGCGGGGCGCTAGCTCTGCCTCCAGGGCATGGTGGGTAAGGAGGTCTGGACCCGCCTGCCTTTGCCACGAGGTGGCGATTATGAGCCGTGGGCGGCTTCAGGGCAAGTGCCCCGGTGTCAGGGTGTGGGGTGAAATCAGGAGTTACAACTGCATGTGAGCGAAGTCCCAGACCCGCGGCCGCTGGGCAGATGGGTGGGTGTGGCGACCCGCCCCCGCCCCCACCCCTGACCTCCTGCACCCACCTGGCCTGGAGTGCCACCTTCTCGGCGTCCCAGCGACCCTGCATCTGCAGCATCTCCCGCACCTTGTCCTGCAGCTGCTGCTCCAGGGCGCTGGCTGTGAGGCTGGCCGCCAGCCGCAGGTTGGAGCCGAGGTTCAGGCAGGCCATGTGCAGGCGCTGGGCCGTCCTGGCCGCGTCCACTCGCATGTCAGCGAGGCCCCTGGGAGACAAGGGCGGCACTCCGCTGAGCCACAGGGCTGCTTGTGGCTCGGCCTGGAGGCTCCACGCTGGGCGGCAGGGGCAGGGTCTGGTGACAGGCCTGCGGCAGACCCCTCCCGTGCCGTCCTCAGGGGAGGCCCCGCCGGGTGGCATCTCGGAGGGGCGGGGGTGAGTGGGGGATGGGCCAGGCCGGACAGGACAGGCTGTCCACCTTGAGCAGCACTTCCACCCTCTGAGCCTCAGGGGCCCAGGGTGGACCGTTGGAGGTTCTCGGCAAGGGCCGGGGGGAAGCCAGAGTCCCTGCGGGTGGATCCGGCCCCTGGCGCTGCATCTCCCTGGCTGGCCTGCCTCTCTTCTCTCCCCTGCACCCTTGCCTGCCTCACTCTGTCCATCCGTCCATCTCCCCCACTGCCCGCCTCTGCTGCCGTCTCCACCACTCCCATCGGGCCACCCGTGGGAGGAGTGTGGGGGGCCCGATGCTGGGCATCAGGTGCCCTTCTCCCCGACCCTGATGGCACCCACGCCTGGCTCTGTGTGGGCAGGGTGGCTGGTACGCACCTCTCTGTGGCTGCACGCAGCTCAGCCAGGTGTCCACGGAGGGCTGCGACCTGTCTCTGCAGGAGGAGGACATCCTGGTGTCCCACCGCGCGAGTACGCTGGGTCTGAAAGCAAGAGGCTTGCGTCCACTGCAGGCGGAGGCCCGGGGCTGAGGGGTGAGGGGAGCCCTGCGGCCCCATTCACCCGCCCCACAATCAGGTCCTCCGGCTCCAGGCGGGCGGAGCGCAGACCCTCATCACTACCCTCCTGCATGCGGCACCTACCCCACTGGATGGGTAAGGTCCCCGGGGCAGTGCTTTGCTCCCCTCCCCAAAGGACCTGGGGAGGTGACCACTCCCAGGTCCAGAACCAGGACCCACTCAGCCTGGTTCCCCCAATGGGGCCGTGGGCGGCACTCAGCTCCCGCCCTCCAGCTGGGGGGTTGGGAGCACGACACAAGGAAACAGACCTTGCCTTCTCCAGGACCTAGAGAGCAGCGCTTACTCTCGGAGGGCCCCTAGGACGTCGGGAGTGGGGCCTGGCCCTTCAAGGTGGCAGGGAGGCAGAAGCCTCTGCCAGTAGGAGCCCATGCAGTGGTAGGGGTGGGGGAGCCACCCTGAGAACAGGCGGAGTGAACAAGGTTGTAAGGTGCAGCGAGAGCCCACCGCTGGGCTGTGAACGGGGAGGGGACGGGGTGGAGAGTTGGGGGCAGGAGTGGGATGGGGTCACGTGCGGTCAGCGGCACCAGCCTTGCAGGGAACTAAGCGGAAGCCCAGAAGGTCCTGAGTCTCCCCACCACCTTCCCAGCCCCTGCACTGGGCTGTGTCCTGAACACTGACCTCCAGGGCCCCCCGGGGGGCTCACCACCACACCCAGTGCTTTCCGGTGCTCCCAGGGCCCCTCCTGCCTGTTACAGCCCCACCCGCGGCTTTTCAATGTTGCTTCAAACAAAGCACTTTCACGTCCTGCCGGTCCTCCAGCCCAGGACCCACACGCTCACCTGCTACTTCATGAAGCCTTTGCCGATCGCCCTCCCCTGAGCCCCCATCTGAGGTGCCCCCCATCGAGCCCAGAAACACCCTGCTGTGTACCTTGTGTAGGGAACGCCCTTTGCGCCTGGTGCCAGAGCCTTGTGTATACTCGCACCCCACCCCCCAACTGTGACCATCAAAGAGCAAGGATTAGACATCCCTCCTGCTGACACGAAGAGCCGACTCCTGTCCCGCCTGCCCACTAAGACAGTGGAATACTTGAGATTCCACACTTTATGACTTCTTGAACGCAAGGCTGGGCGGCCGGCATGGTAAGGGACACGCAAGCCAGGAACCAGGAAACTCAGGGACTCTAGGGGGACTTGCCAAACAGTAACTTGAACACGTTTCCTTGACCACAGGGGCTCTGGGGACAGAGAGGAAAGCTTAAGGTCCACCCAAGGGGGAGTCTGCTCACATGTGGAAGTGATCCCCCAAGCTGCACTCCAAGTAAGGTGTGCTAGAGATGGGCGAATCAGCACACACGTGCGCACGCACACACACGCAAACGCGCACGTACACAGCTGCTTGCAGGGTGCTGTAAAGAGGTGCAGTGTCCCCCACAATTCACATGTTGGAACCTAATCCCCAACGTGATGGTATTTGGAGGTGGGGCTTTCCAGTTCCACCTTCAGGATTGGTGTTAGTGTCCTTATAAAAGAGGCCCCACGAGGGTCCAGTCCCTTCTGCCATGTGAGCTTACAGCCAGGAGGTATCGTCTGTGACCAGGAAGCGCTCTTCACCAGACGAAGGGCCTGGCGCTTTGATCTTGGACTTCTAGGCTCCAGAGCTGTGAGAAGTAAATGTCTGTGGACAAGCCCCCAGGCTGGGGTATTTCTGCTACAGGGGCCTGGAGGGACCAAGACAGTAAGGAAAAAATCTCCCTGTGGTTTTGGAAGCACAAGTTAGCCTTGGTGCAGTTTTCAGCCTGGATTCACAAAACCTGGGTGGTTTAAAAAAAACAGTAAAACTGAAAATTTACTTCAATGTGGTGCAAAGGTCGTCAGAGCCCCTGAGAACCCGACCTAAGCAAATGGCAGTCCTTTCTGGAACACACCACGTTCATTCCAGGTTTCAAACAATTTTCAGAGTCCCAAGGATAACATGCAGGTCTTAGGTAAAAATTTTTTTAAAAAACCACCAAAGACACAAGGAAACACAGCACCATGACCACGACCTAGCAGAAACAATAGACTCACACCTTGAAGAAGTTCAGATATTAGAACGTCAGACCCAGACTACAAAATAACTGTTTCCTAATATGCATCAGCAAACACACGAGAGGCTTGAAAGTACCAGTTAAGAGTGAGATAGCTGGAAAATATCCAGAATAACATCAGAATTTCTAAAGATGAGAAACACTACGTTTAGGATTCAAGCCTAATCGGCAGGTTTAAGGGCGGTTGGACACCAGAAGAGAAAACTGATGACCAGGAGGGTAGATTCTACCCTCTATCTACCACGTAGACCAGGGGGGTAGAAGGAAGGAAAGTCTGGGAGGTTAAGAAGCGTGGGAGGGAGCACGGGGATGGGTAAGGTCCACGGGGCGGGAGAGGACAGGGGAGAGCGGGACGTGGGTGACACTGAAGCAGGTGACGGCTGCTTGCCAAGGACAAGGGGAGCGCGGCATCTGATGAGTCCTCAGCAGGATAAACACAAAGAAACCTGCGCGTCTGCGGCGGGAAGCTGGCAGGAAGCTGGCAGGATGCAGTCACAGAGAGCGGCCGCTCACAGCGGCCACGGCAAGAGGACGACGGCCTCCGTGGCGGGCCAGCAGACAGAGGACGGGGGTCTCTAAGGCGCTGAGAGGAAGAGCCGCCGGCCAGCGGCCAAGGGGGAATAAAGACCCTTGATAAACCAGTGCCAAACTGGACGTGAGGCCCGTCTCCAGGGCATTTGTTTCCCTAGTGGCCAAGGCGGGGGCGTGATGTGTCTCCCACGTCTCCGCAACCCCACGTGGGAGCCCGGCCATCGACGACCACCCTGTGATGACAAGCGCATATTCCCTCTTGGCGTCCCGTCCCCGTGCAGGGGTGGCTGCAGCAGGAGGGGCCGCTCGGCTTCTGACTGGAGCAGCTGTCCAGCAGGAGGAGCCCTGTCCACACAGTGGGGTTGGGCCTCCCACCCCGCCCGATCCGTGTGGGCAGTGCCGAGACGGCCCCTCTGAGATGGGCTTGTCCGAGGGACACCTGTGCAGGGTCAGCCTGAGGCCCAGGCACCCGGGGACCAGCTCGGCCTCTGCTCCTGCCACGTCTGGGGAGAAATCCTGCCCATGGGGCCCGTGGCAGACGCCGGGAGGTCCGTGGGGACATCCAGGGACGATCGGAGCAGAGGTTGCAAGCCCAGCGGGGATGTGGACAGGCAGAGGCGTGGGGTGACCCGTCTCAAATATGTCCCCTACCTCAAGCTGGACGTCCTGCCCCAGTGACCAGCCTGGGATGGTCAACGCAGTATCTCCCCCCAGCAAGGCTGAGGCCTGGAGCTCCGTGCCGTGACCCCGTGCCCCAGGGCTGCGGGTTTCAGAAGAGGCTGCGTGGGCCCTGCTGGGCTGGCCAGGGAGTGGGGGGCTGTGGTGCGGCCCAGGCTCCTGTGTCTGACCCCGAGTTGGGCCTGCAGAGACTCTTCTCTCTAGAGCAGCTCGGCCACGCCAGAACCAGGGCTCGGCCCTCACTCTGTTTTCCAAGCCCAGCCAGGCGTCCTTCTCTCAAAGCGGGGGTCTTCCCACGCAGTGCCCCCACCCTGCAGACTAACGTGGCCAAGCGAGTGGGGGACATGGTGTGGCGGGAGGCCCGGGGCCTTGCCCCTGCCACGGGAACCAGACCAGGCATGCCCCTGCCCATGGGCGAGAGCCAGGGAGCACCTCTCTCTGGGTCCAGCGCTGCCTCTCCCGCAGCTCCAGCTCAGCCCGCAGGAGGAGCACGCTGCGCGTCGTCCCCGCCAGCTCCTCGGCCAGTCTGTCGTTGGCCTTCTTCATGTGTCCTAGCTGCTCCCGCAGGAGGGTGTTCACCTGGGAGAGGCCGGTGCTCCTGTACGGGTAGGGACGGAGCGGCGTGGCCATGGGCGGGTGGCCTCTCCCTGCAGACGTGCTCAGACAGCCGGGCCCCGAACCTCCTGGGCCCAGACGACCCCAGCTCGACTGTGCAGCGCCCAGACTGCCCCTAAGAGGCCCTGGCCACCTGCAGCGGTCCTCAGTGGCCCCGCCAGCGGGGGCCAGCCTCTGGGTGCCACCCCGGCACGCCCCCTCCTGCCCTGACTCGCTTGCTCTCCCCACCTTCCGCCCCTCTGGGCTCCCCTGGCTCTGCCACACAACTGTGGCTGGCTCCTAACTCCAGGGGCTGGGAGACCATCAAGAGGGTTAGGGCTAGGGAGCCTGGCCGAGGGTACCAGGGCTGGGAAGGTACCCTGCCGCGCAGGGCGGGGGCAGAGGGAGTCAGGCCTGCCCCGTGGAGGGGGCAGCTCCTCTGGGACCGTGGGGGTCTCTCTCCACCCAGGGCAGGTCTGCATGTGGCTGCAGTCGGGGACCCCAAACCCTCTGGAGCCCGCACCTCCCGGCTAGCCGCGCGGCCACAGGGACTTCCTCTGCTCCTGTCTGCTCTGTGGGCATCAGCCTCCTCCTGGCTTATTTACCAACACCCTCCACCCCCCTGCTCCAAAACTGGTTTTCAAAATGCTTCTCAGCACTTTTCTTCCTTATCCAGAGTCCCTGAGGATGAACCAAGGCTGGGAAGTCTTCCACAAACGGCTTAACCTCCCCCAGGTCTGGAGACAGAGCTGGCCGTGGAGTGGAGGCTCATCCCTCCCGCTGGCCGCCCTGCAGGGAACGTGGAGAGATGCCCTTCCCTTCCGCGGCCGTGTCCTGGGGCTTGGGGCTATCTCCGGGGGCACTGGGGTATGACACACACTTACCAACGGTGCACAGGTGAGCCCGATCGTGAAATCAGAGCGGCTTGAAGCCAAAGGGGCCTGGGAGTCAGGGCCGGAGTGTGAAGTGGACTGGGACTGAGGGGAGAACCCCCGGGCCCCCCAGGATTGGCCAGGCCAGCCGAGGGCCAGGAGCAGCTCAGGCGGCCTTCCTGGAGCTCAGGCCAGAGTCCCGGCCTCAGCAGGCGGTGGGGGCCTGGGGTGACACACGAGGGAGCAGAGGGCCAGGGAGGCCCCATGACCTGTGGGACCTGCACTCTCGCCTGAGGCCCTGGGGGTGGTCCTCCTCCCCGTGCTGCCCCTCCCCGTGCTGCCCCTCC